GTACTTAAAACTACAAGGATAAGGCCACAACGTGAGGGAGAAAGCTGGAGGAGGTCGCCAAGAACACTTCAAGAACACGGAATCTTCCACATGTCACCATAGATCTACCCTGATCAGATAAGAGGTTTTTTGGACGGAGTGGGACGGGACAAGTATGCAGTGATGCTAAAGGGCTTATCAGACAGGTAGGAATGTGCTAGGACGCTAAAACCCGTGGTATAGTCCTTCAACTATCTTAAACGAAGTATTAGTAGTAGTTTCTTAAAACGCTCGCTAATATATATACGTGGTATAATAATAAAAGACGTTCCTTATGATTTTAAACATGACATCTCCTTCTTTTACGATATTCTCCTTATTTTCAGGAGCAGTAATACCTTCTCATTTTCTAGGGGCAGTACTTTCTCCTAATTTTCAGGGGGAGTCAATACCTCCTAATTTTTAGGGGCAGTAAATATCTCCTTATTTTCAGGAGCAGTATTACCTCTCATTTTCAGAGCATGTATTACCTCTTCTTTTTCAGGGAGCAGTAATACGTCACCATTTTCAGGAGCACTAATATCCTCCTTATTTTCAGGAGCAGGTAAGAACGAACTGTTGTGGATGTCTTGACAGGACTAAACAGGCTCGTTTGTGTTGGGGAGGTAGCACTGGGACATCAGCTAATGGTACTAGGAGTTATTATCTTCACCGGAATGGACGATAACACTCCATGTATACACTCACTAGAAGAAATTATAACCTCTTGTATACACTCACTAGAAAGTTCATTATAACACTCCTTGTATACACTCACTAGAAGTAATTAAAACACTCCTTGTATACACTCACTAGAAGTTAAGTATAACACTTCCTTGTTATACCTCACTAGAAGTAATTATAACACTCCTTGGTTACATCACTAGAAGTAAATATTAACACTCCTTGTATACACTCACTAGAAGTAATTATAACACCTCCTTGTATAAACTCACTAGAATTAATTTTAACACTCCTTGTCTACACTCATAGAAGTTAATTATAACACTCCTTGTATAACATCACTAGAAGTTAATTATAACAACTCCTTGTATCTACTCACTAGATAGTAATTATAAACACTCCTGGTATACACTCACTAGAAGAAATTTATAACACTCCTTGTATAAAACTCACTAGAAAGTAATTATAACATCCTGGTATACACTCACTAGAAGTAATTATAAACACTCCTTTTATTAAAAACTCACTAGACGTAATTATAACACTCTTGTTATAAACTCACTAGAAAGTAATTTATAACACTCCTTGTATACACTCACTAGAGTAAATTATAACACTCCTTGTATAAAACTCACTAGAAGTAATTATTGACCACTCCTTGTATACATCACTAGAAAGTAATTATAAACAATCCTTGTATACACTCACTAGAAGTAAATTATAACACTCCTTGTATCACTCACTAGAGTGCATTATAACACTCCTTGTATACACTCACTAGAAGTAATTATAAAATCCTTGTAGACACTCACAGAAGTAGTATACACTCCTTGTATACAGTCCTAGAAGTATTATAACACTCCTTGTATAAACTCACTAGAAGAGTATTATAACACTCCTTGTATACCCACTCACTAGAAAAGTTAATTCTAAACACTCCGTGTATACACTCACTAGAAGTTATTATAACAACACCTTGTATAAACTCACTAAAAAAGTAATTATAACAATCCTTGTATACACTCACTAGAAGTAATTATAACACTCCTTGTTATAACTCACTAGAAGTAATTATAACACTCTTGTATACACTCACTAGAAGTAATTATAACACTCCTTGTATACACTCACTAGAAGTAAATTATAACACTATTTATAAACATGTTTTACCCGGTTAGGGCATATTTAAAATTTCTATTCATCAAAGTTTTCTCCGGATATTCTGCTTCCAGTACCTTGTGGCGACCTTGTGTCACTCTCATCGACTCACTGATTGGTCACTGGTCAAATTTTCAGTCAAAATGCGATATTTTGGTCAAGGGGGGCCGGCAGAAAAGCTCCTCTTCAAAAAATCTTCCAAAATCTCTTTTTATTATTCTGATGATTTTCAGTTTATAAAAAGCTTTCTTTGGAATTCAATCTTTGGGATGGTGAATTCTTATTCCGTATATTTGCCTTCAAGCAGCCCCCTCCCCACCCCCCCCCCCCCCCCCCCCCCCCACCCCCCCCCCCCCCCCCCCCCCCCCCCTCCCCCCCAACCTATACTCCCGTCAGGAGATATATGTGGGATCACGGTGGACACAAGGCTCTTCAATACGGGGGTTCACAGCTATGTTCACAGGAATACGAGGGTACCGCAAAAGACAACCCTGGACCTTCTCACTCATACGATATACTAACACAGTGTCTGACCGTTATTAACCGCAACGCTTTTACAGACTACGGAAAAACAGAACGCTATCACTTGTTCTTAGGTTAATTGCAGTAAGGTAGTGTTAGGTTAATGTAGTTCACTTTATTACTCGTTTCTTTAGGTTTTAAATATAGTTCACTTTATATTACTACTTTGTTCACTTTTTACTAATTTTTTAGAGCGAAAAAAGATTAGTTATATTTTTCATTTAAATAATAATTTTAAAATTAGGTGTATCTTATTTATTTATTGGTATGTTTAAGGGTTGCTTAAATAGCCATTTAAACCCGTGGAAATGTTACAGGTATGTATGAAGTGGGAAAGTCAGCAATGTCTCTGTGGGACCTTAACTTCAGGACACTTACTTACCCCCCTTTCCTAATTGCCACTATTCCAATCCTTACACTTCATGGTGGGACCCCAGGGTGTCTGGGTTAGTGCTTATTGTTTATTATATCTATATACCACGTGATGTCCATATAAGGAGCGGGTTACTTGGAGTGGGTGAGGCAGGTGCTCCGACAGCAGTATACCCGGCAAGGAGGTTGTATATTTCTGGAACCTAACAAAAAGTCAATTATGTAGTCCTTTATGGCATAAACCATCCATTGAAGTGATTGTGATAAGTTAGTATATGTTAGTTTGATCTATTACCCTTGTCAGGAGAGTTTGCCACTAGCCTCAACCATAACGAGCTGCAAAGACCTGGTGTAATTGGGGACACACAGTACAGAACGTTAAAAGAGAGTGAAGCTGATATGGAGCTAGTTGCACGTGATGCCCATATATGGGATGAAGCGCATGGGAGCTTCCTTTAAGACAGTTACAGCACTTCTTTGAGACGAGCTAGTACAGGTAATATAAATAATAGTAACACTAATTGTAGTCTTACTGCTAGTATTCAGGGGTAGTCTGGGATAGAGGAGCTGGTCCTTATATGGGATCACGTTGTTGAGAATACCCGTGAAGATATAAGTGGTGCTCTCAAATTCTGAATTTGATAAGATATACTTACATTAGTATATACTGGTTACTATAAATTCGTGTGAATTGAACTCGTATTCACGTATGCTGACATTCAGAACTATTAAATAAGTCAAATTGCAAGAGTGCGCTATTGATCACGTGGACTACTGTATATTATGAACGTATCTCTTAGTACGTGATGTTAATGTGGTCACCTGACTAATGATCGTGTTATGTGTCACGTGACTAACAAAACTCTATTAAGTCCTACTCATATCTTTGAAATCATTAAAAACGTTCATCCCTAAATATCATTCACACTCAAAACTATCTTGAGTTAACATATAAAAAATCCTAAAGATATTATAAAGTCTACAAGAAGATCGTAAAAAACATATTAATGGCAATTACTTAAAATTCTAAAACATAAAACGTTGTTTATACATATCTTCCGTACATAACATAAATATATTGGAACTATATTTTATAATAATTTAAAATAATTTTCTCCATAAAATACGATCAGGCAATATGTTCAGTTCAGTCAAATCTTTTGCATTATTTTTTTTAAAAATTTTTTTTATTCTTTTATTACGGTCACTCAAAATTAGTTTTTAAAAGTTACTTTTTACTGCCAATACTTACCCTTCATAGTTAGCATAAAATTTACTTAACAGCAAAGGCAAGAGGCTAACTAGTAACTGCCTTTGCTGAGTTTATAATGTTTATAAACACAACTGTGTCTCACAGTGATGGGAGTTCTGCATCTTTTTCCCGGTTATTCATTCAATGAGGCTGATCGTTTCTGATTCTGAAATGGTGATTTTATTTTTTAGTGGGACATATTATAGTTGGTTATATAATATATATGGTTCTATATATATAATACTACAGAGTTTTGGTAATCAAAGCAAAAGTTAATGTAAGAATGCAAAAGTAAATTTTGATAACAGTTCAAATTAGGACAAATAAGATTAAATAAACAATAACAATGTGTGTATCAACAGTTGAAGGATTTTTCAGGAATTCAGAAACTAGAAAAAAGGATATTATAAAAAGTACTTTAAAAGTGGACATTTTTTAAACCTTAAATTCTCCAATTATTGGTTGCCAACATTCGTATATAGTCTTTTGCAGCATCGTGTTTGTTCCTGGGGTTGGTTATTATTAGATTTAATTTAGGATACTTATCATTTGACGTTTTCAAGATCTTCTCGCTTTTTCCATTTGAATGGAAAGCGCCAGATTTTTTTCTGGTAGGTTTCTAATATTTGCTTGGATCTATTATCAAGTGTTAATGTTGTAGATTGAGCTGGATTCTACCTACGTCAACCTCACAATAGTATTAAGTGTACCAACTCAAATTAATAACTAGGTACCTACTGTAATTGTAGTACCTGAAAATAGGGTTAATAAAAACGAACACAAAAGGAAGTTCGCTTTTGTGTTATGGCTGTGGTTATTTCAACAGCTTAAGTATATAAAGCCTGTAGATAATGTTAATATTTATTGGATTATTGATAGAACAGGTTTGTTTAAATAAGTCAACAAAAAGTATTCTTCCGCTTTTTGTACCCCACTTAGTGCCCTATTAGTGCCACTGCCCTCAGCTTCATCAACACTTTAACATCGTGTCTTGTCAGTTAAAAGTTCGTTCCCGCTGCCTAGGGTTGAATTCTGCAATAAAATTGCTTTACTATTAGAGCTTTTCATTATAACTAAAAAGAGGTCTCCAAGGTTATAATCAACATTGCATTAAAACTTTGTTTAAATCTTTGATTTTAAAATGGATTTTAATTCTATTTTGCTTTTCAACTGAACCTGAATTAACGAAATTAGGTTGTTTACTGTTCCCTGTGTTGACTATTGGAGAGCCCAAAGTGCTATTTGGAGTTGTTGGTTTCGGCAGCATTTTTTTATAGGATTCATCCATGACCGCCACATTTATTTTTTGTCCTCGTTGGTTTCCGAAATCTAGCATGATGGGAAGATCGTCTGCTGGGACAGTTTCCGGAGCTGTCAGGTTAATGGCAGGTTTTTCTTTAGACATGGTCGGAGTGACTGATTGCAATACAATCGAGTCCGTTGTTATTATGTTATCTTCTGTATTGGACTTGGATACAGTTTCCAAAATCTTTATTATCTCTGATTTCTCCGATTCCTTCAAAAATTTAGATTCTCCCCTCCTCAAATGTTCCATTGACCTTATCATGACCAAACTTAGCTCGTTCACCTCAGAAGTAGGATGTTTGGTTAATTTCGAAAGAAGATCAACAATTTCATGAGTGTCTCTGGGGGACAGTATAATGTCTGCTCCCGCTTCAGCAACACAGTTCAGTTCCTTGTTGAGATCGTGTACTTTGTCTGCATTCAAGTCACTTTCAACTTCAAGTACTGATTGCAAGCAAGATGACAGTGGGGAATCACATTCATCGGTGTCAGTGTTATCATCCCAATATCCTTCTACAGTGCACTCTTTGTAAAGTTTCTTGTATGAATCTCCAGGACAGTTAACTGAGCTTCTGTTTCCTGCCCAGGTTTCTGCAAATTCTATAGGTGATCCCTTATTCAACCACGGTAGTGTGATGGAAATAGGCCCACACCTGAAATTGGCACTTACAGGCAAGCAAGCTGTCTTTTCCCTATTCACAGATCCAGCGCAGGCTAAACATCGGGTTTGTTGAGGATATGGTTGGTATTCAGAGGGATCACATCTCAGGCAGCTAGGCTCTTTTCCTCCATTGCGAGAATACCACCCAGGTGCACAGATATCTGAAATTATTGACTTTTTTATTGTAGTTGCATAGTTTATAAGCTTTGCACTTTTTAGACGTCATAGTTATTCAAAAGCCCATCTGTTGGTTTGAATTAACTATTTAATAAAGTTCAGTTGCCGAATTGCTTTAGTACTGATAACAAAAACTTAGAACATACGTTTAATAATTTGAAAATCTAAATCTATGACGAAACTACTATTTTAAACGACTTAAACCGTGATAGACACTTTCTATATTATTCCTCACATACCACATTGAGTTTTATCTGAGTTTGCCAATATATTATCATCACATTGTCTACAGAAAATAGCTCCCTCTTTAGGACTAATCATGTTTCCCGTACAAGAGACACACTTGGTTGCATCCATGTCAGCTGATCTGAACGTTCCCGGAGGGCACAGTTCACATGTTATCATGCTGCAAGTTTTATACTGCCCAGCTGGGCATGTTACTGAAACGATTGTATTATTACATCTCATAATATTCATCATTTATTATTTATTTTGAATGCGAGTCTAACTAGTTATCAATTTTATGATTTTGACAGCACCTGGGTGTCCAAATTGCAGGACCTAAAGCTCTAAAGTTATTATTCTTTGACCTATTTTTTATTTCGTCATACTGGAGTCTGGACCAGCTATTCCATTGTTCTTTTCTGAGTATATTCTATTCTCGTACTGTTAAAAACTTGAAGAACTACTAAAGTCTTGGGATTGACGATATCTCTAATGAGCAGTTATAAAGTACGGGGCAAGTAGTCTGAGCGAACAGAAAGTAGCAAAGTGGTGTCTCACGGAGCTGTTCTTCAAAGATCTATGAGTCCGCTTCTGACTCTGGTAATCATCATCCCGTCCATTACAACCAAAGAATTTAATTTTTTTCGAATAAAACACCTCGCTATGGTCGGAATAAATAAAGGCAATTACATGACGCTTGTTTCATGTAAAAAAAGAACGATAAGATTGAAACATTTAATAGCTTTCAGAGGTAGGTTTGTATCGAGAATGACTCGAACAGAAAATTTTCTCAGTCGAAATCTTCCAGAGTTTTGGTTCATGTTTCATGCTACCATGCTACCCTGATCATTATTAGCCGAAACTAGTCCGTACCTTCATTCGAAAAATTGTGTATCAAATGGTCGACTTCGAAAAATATTTATGGCTCATAATGATAGGTAACCTGAAAGGTAACCTGAAACGTAAACAAAAGTTTTTTTCCAGGATAACTTAATTTTGTGACTTAGAAAATGTTCAGCCTTCAGTCCCGTGCAGCTCACTGCAGATATATCATATTGAATCACGTTGACCTGATTAATTTGGTTGTGTGATAATTACAACAATAATTACAACCGCTATTTTAACAGTTCGATCCCACGATTTTGTTTCCTTTCCCAATTCTAACCCTTTCAAGCAACCAGCTCTAACATTACTATACCATTGCTTGCTTGGGGGTCCAAGTCTCAATTACTGTGTAACAATAGTATAAGCTTCCAAGTTATCTTACCACAGGCAGTTTTGTCAGTGTTTGGTGTCCATCCTGTTTCACATGTCTCACAGCTTGTCATATCTTTGTTCTTGTAGCTTCCAGCTGGACACTCAGCTGAAAAATAAGAAAGTAGTTAGAACCTAATGTGACATAAAATATAAAAATGTGTATAATACAGAATACTCTGAATTACCCCCTGCCCCCTGGTCTTCAGATAAGAATCCTTACCACACGCAGTCCTCCCTAAGTTTTGTTCCTGGCCAGGTCCACAAGTCGTACACAAGGCTGCTCCTTCTGAACTGATCGTGTTATCAGGACATTCTTTACATGTGTTCATGCCAATGTTCTTGTAGCTTCCAGCTGGACATGGCTCTGAAAAATTAAGAAATCTTTAAGCAGCAATTCGTTTGAAGTTACGTTATTACTAAGAAGTTATTGTGAGTACCAATATCCTTGGTTTTCATTCTTCAACACAGTTAATTTAAATTTGAAACATAACAATAATATTAAATATATGTAAGCTTAAAGTTATCTTACCACAGGCTGTTTTGTCAGAGTTTGGTGTCAATCCAGCGTCACATGTCTCACAGCTTGTCATAGCATCATTCCGATATGTTCCTTCTCCACACGGCTCTGGAATTATAACGTTATAACTGGCAAATCTTAGTGGAAGCTAAGAAAATCGTTATTATGTAAGTACAGTTCAGATGTTTCACAATAACAGTAGAGAAACATATGTGATAAATTAAATATCCACATATTCCACAGTTTTTCAACGAAATTATTGCAACCCAGACTCTTACGCCCTTATGGTTCTTGTCTTTTCGTACCATAAATTTGCCTTCTTGATTCTTAGCCCTATCTGGCGCCTTATCCTTATCCCGTCTTAACCCCTACCATATCTTTACCCAATACCCATCTATATAGATATAATCATCTCAGCTCGGTCCTTGTTAACAATTCTTACCACATTTTGTTCTCTCACAAGTTGTACACAAGGCTGCTCCTTCTGAACTGATCGTGTTATCAGGACATTCTTTACACGTGTTCATGTCAATGTTCTTGTAGCTTCCAGCTGGACATGACTCTAAAGAATTAGGAAATCTTTAAGCAGCAATTCGTTTGAACTACCTTTTTAAGAGGTCATTGTGAGTACCAATATCCTCGTTTTTCATTCTATAGCACAGTTAATTCAAATTAAAAACATAACAATAATATTAGATATAAGCTTTAAAGTTATCTTACCACAGGCTGTTTTGTCAGAGTTTGGTATCAATCCAGCGTCACATGTCTCACAGCTTGTCATAGCATCATTCCGATATGTTCGTTCTCCACACGGCTCTGGAATTATAACGTTATAACAGGCAAATCGTAGTGGAAGATAAGAAAATCGTCATTTTATAAGTACTTAAGTACACTTTAGATGTGTTACAATAACATTTGATTCAAAACAATATTTGAAAAATTAAATATCCACATATTCCACAGTTTTTCGACGAAATTATTGCCACCCAGGCTCTTACAGTTCTTGTCTTTCCCTACCACGAATTTGTTTTTTTGATTCTAAGCCATATCTGGCGCCTTATCCTTATTTTTTTATTGATTTTTTTTTGATTTGAAACTTTTACAAAATAGCAAGTATACAAATGTACAGCAATTCGAACAAACATATAAAATGGGCCGAAATGTATAAATGCTAAAAAGCGTGGGTCAGTGAAACAAGTACAGAGGACAACTTTCAGAACAGGAGTTTTTTGGCCGCCCAAAGTCTCAATAACATCACCTCCACCTAGTAATAAAATTATGAAACGTGAAAAGTGTGAAACAATCAAATAATAATGTATTTATATAATATAATTGTCTCTCAAATACAGATAACGTCCGTAAACTCTTAAAATATTCCTACAAGTACATATTATACTGATCGGTGTCCGAGAAACATGAATTACGTCATCATGGTGCCTTCTTAACCCGGCTACAGACCTTCCCGTTACGGATGTAGTGGTCGAGATGAGTCTGTTCAGCCCTCCTCTTCTTCAGGTTAGTTACCACGTTCTTCCTTGCTGCACGCTCTTCACTGGATCTATCAGGACAGATCCATACATCTTTGTGTGCATCAGCCATCCTCAGTCTCCCTGTTTTCATCAGAATCTGATGAACTGCTGTTGAGCTAGGGACGGTGATCTTGACTGGTCGGATAGCCGTGATACCTGGCCTCTTCCAGCCGACTCTAGTCGCTTCAAAATGAGGTTTCTCCCCGATCTCCTCCAATACTGCGGTTACCAGAGCTGGAAGCTGTTCTCCATCCTCTTCTTTCAGTCCAAACACTATCAGATTCTTGCTCCTGTCCTCCTCTGCAGCCACACTCTTTATTACATTCTTCAGAATTTTACTGTTGCAGACCGCGCCATTTGTGCTGTTCTTTTGTACAGCGGCACTGTAGCTCTTAATCCCTGTCTCCACCGTTGTTTGTACTGTCTCTTCAACTGACGTCTTAAACAACTGTAGTTGTTCGTCCTTCTGCACTAGCAACTGGTCCTGCAACCTGACCATCTTTTCCTTGTCTGCTAGTGCTTCCGTCTTGAGGCACTCAACGATTTCCATCATAGCGCTCATCTGACTACTCTGCCGTCGTACGAGGTCTGCTGCTTCCATAACCCAGTTTGCCATATACCTTTTATAGATAGACGGAGACATGAGTATTTCTTTGTCCATATCTCCACGAATTTCGAAGTTTTCTAATTTCAGTTCTCTTGCCATCGAAGTGAACCATTTATCAGCACATCCCTCTACATCTTCCTTTTCTTCATAGTTGAAATCCTTGAGTTTTTTCTGAGATCGGGTCAAATGTAAATCATCCTCCGTGGTGTACATTGTATAGTAATGTACAAGTATACACACGCAAAGGCTTACTACGCGGTAGCAGCAAACTGAATTTATCGCAAAGTTACAAAAGATAACAGAGCTCGATAATTGCAACGTAAGCTACACACACTGGCAACGTAAGCTACACACACTGATTATTATTATAAAAAAATTTGGCGGCCAAATTCTAAATTTAGCAGTGCAAATTTTGGAATTTGGCCGCCAAATTTTTTTAAAGGCCTAATTTAAAATTCTGTCCCAAAACTTAAGGTCATGAGACAATTCTACGTTGATTCTGAAAATTTCATGAAAAAATATTGAAACCCTATTGAGTTCTATTGTTTTGAGCGAAGTCAATTTTGCAAATATCGCGAACTGAGATATGGGCGATTTTGTTCATTTTTTGCGATTATTTGAACACAGAATCCACAGTTAGGTAGATATTGAGCTGACAATCATAGAGAATGTGTAGTATAGGCTGATTTCTTTAAAAAATGTTGATATTTGACCAATTTATGGACCAAAATCGATCAAATTTGGTGCGTATGCCCAAACATGGGCATATGGTTTTTATCCCATAACTCGGCAAATTTTTATCCAATTTTGATGAAAATTCATATACGAATTCAGGGAACCACTAGCTACAAGTAGAGCACCTAAAATCTGGATTTTGGGCATGTTCAGGGTATTTGGCTAAATTGGGCCTGATTTGGACCAAATATGGGCGTGGCTGCCCCGCGGACACCGTTTGGCGGTTGGGGTTTGGGACCCCCTCAAAAGTTCGGTCACTGGTCCTAGTTTGTTGGTCAACTGCTATCTCGAAACCAAGTTTCACAAAAAAATCAGGGTGAACCCCCCCCCCCCCCCCCCCCCCCCCCTTAAAGTTATCTTACCACAGGCTGTTTTGTCAGAGTTTGGTGTCAATCCAGCATCACATGTCTCGCAGCTTGTCATAGCATCATTCCGATATGTTCCTTCTCCACACAGCTCTGAAATTATAACGTTACAACTGGCAAATCTTAGTGGAAGATAAGAAAATTGTTATTATATTTAAGTACAATTCAGATGTTTTACAATAACATTATTTAAACACTAGGTATGTGACAAATTAAATATCCACATATTCCACAGTTTTTCGACGACATTATTGCAACCCAGACTCTTACGCCCTAACAGTTCTTGTCTTTTCGCACCATTAATTTGCCTTCTTGATTCTTAGGGCACTATCCGTCGCGGAGTCGAGTCCGCGGCGGAGCCGCCGGACTTCGAGCGGACTCCGAGCGGACTCCGGCGGTGCTCCGCCAAAATGTATTTACAGTGGACTCGAGTACATTTTGGCGGACTCCGAGCGGAGCCGAGCGGACTCCGAGCGGACTTTAAAGTCCGCCGCGGACTCCGAGCGGCTCCGCGGCGGCTCGGCGGAGTGTCCGCCGCGGACTAAGCCACTAGGCGGACTCCGGTCCGCCGCGGACCCCGGCGGAGTGCTTGGCGGACTCCGCCGGACCTCTCCGCCAGACTTGAATCCGGCGGAGTCCAGCGGAGCTTGGCGGAGTCCGCCAGCTCGGCGGACTCCGCTCGGAGTCCGCCGGACTCCAACAGAGTCCACTGACTTCCGACCTCCGTCTTCCGACCCTCGGCTAAATTTGTCACGTGACATACAACATAGCATTTTGCAATATTGTGGTCAGATGAAAAGGTCGCTAGTGATAAACCTTAACCATTACCCTCACAATGTCAATGGTGTACAACTCTAGTCCTAACTTTGACCCTATAATGTATAAACGTTGACCCTAACCCTCCACCAAACCGTCCGCAGCGAAATATCAATGTCATTGACTGGTCACGTGACCAAAACAATTTTTGTCATATTATCAAACATGGGGAAGCGTTTTTAGTTTTACCCTACACGTTGCATGTAGCGTCATTCGGCCGGATCCCAGCAAGCAAAAATACGTCGACCATCACAGGACGACGCCAGCCAGCACTCTCTACGCTCTTCGAGCCCCGATCGTCCTGTGACGAAGTAAGGACGAAGCCTGAGGTCCTCAGGTAACATCGACCACCGATTGAAAATTCAAAGATTTTTTGACATAAAGGTCAAATGTAAAACTAAAATCTTGATGCTGATTGATTGACGACGTCAATTTTTGAGCACAGCGCGAGCGCATGCGGAAAAGGACCGCGTAGCTAGTCAAGATGTTGATAAATATTTGGCTTGTGGCGCGATGTGTTGCTCTAACTATAGCCCTCTCGCTTGCAGTAGCGCGCGACCGCCGGAAATGACTTGTGGAACAAGCACGCCCGCAGCGGCGCGAAAGCACCTGGTTAGCTAAATGAAAGCGATGTGCCTTGCATTGTAAAATGAAATCCTACTAGCTGACGCCACTCGCAGCTGTGATGTTCGCTGTACGTCAGCGATCGAAATTTATACGCGTATCACCCGTTAAGATGTGCCACCCGACGCGCCACGCAATTTTTCTCGTTGCTCGTCGCACGTCGACGCCCTCATTAAATTTTTGGAGAAAATCGCTCGCCAAAATTTGTTGGACCAGGACGATGTCCTAGCCTGGCAGCTCATTGCGCGGCGCGTCGCAACGAGCTTCGTTGTTCGTCGACGTGCGACGAGCAACGAAAAAAATTGTGTGGGCGCGTCGAGTGGCACATCTTAACGGGGGATACGCGTATAAATTTCGATCGCTGACGTACAGCGAGCAGCACAGCTGCGAATGGCGTCAGCTAGTAGGATTTCATCCTACAAGGCACATCGCGTTTACCTAGCTAACCAGGTCATTTCCGCCTCCGGCGGTCGCGCGCTACTGCAAGCGGGAGGGCTATAGTTAGAGCAACACATCGCGCCACAAGCCAAATATTTATCAACATCTTGACTAGCTACGCGGTCCTTTTCCGCAATATGCGCTCGCGCTGTGCTCAAAAATTGACGTCGTCAATCAATCAACATCAAGATTTTAGTTTTACATTTGACCTTTATGTCAAAAAATCTTTGAATTTTCAATCGGTGGTCGATGTTACCTGAGGACCTCAGGCTTCGTCCTTTCTTCGTCACAGGACGATCGGGGCTCGAAGAGCGTAGAGAGTGCTGGCTGGCGTCGTCCTGTGATGGTCGACGTATTTTTGCTTGCTAAAAACGCTTCCCCATATGAGATAATATGACAAAAATTGTTTTGGTCATGTGACCAGTCAATGACATTGATATTTCGCTGCGGACGGTTTGGTGGAGGGTTAGGGTCAACGTTTATACATTATAGGGTCAAAGTTAGGACTAGAGTTGTACACTATTGACATTGTGAGGGTAATGGTTAAGGTTTATCACTAGCGACCTTTTCATCTGACCACAATGTTGCAAAATGCTATGTTGTATGTCACGTGACAAATTTAGCCGAGGGTCGGAAGACGGAGGTCGGAAGTCAGTGGACTCTGTTGGAGTCCGGCGGACTCCGAGCGGAGTCCGCCGAGCTGGCGGACTCCGCCAAGCTCCGCCGGACTCCGCCGGATTCAAGTCTGGCGGAGAGGTCCGGCGGAGTCCGCCAAGCACTCCGCCGGAGTCCGCGGCGGACTGGAGTCCGCATAGTGGCTTAGTCCGCGGCGGACACTCCGCCGGGGCCGCCCCCGGAGGGCCCCTCCCCCCCCCCAAAAAAACCCCCCCCCCCCCCGGCGGACTTTTAAAATCCGCTCGGGGTCCGGGTCGGGTCCGCTCGGGGTCCGCCAAAATGTTTCTCGAGTCCCTGGAAATACATTTTGGGAGCACCGCCGAGTCCGCTCGGAAAAGGCCCCGGGGGCTCCGCCGCGGACTCGACTCCGGACGGATAGTGCCATTCTTTGTCCCCATCTGGGGCCTTACCCCTTTTCCCGTCTTAACCCCACCCCCCTCCCTTTTTTCCCCTCTATATAATAATTCCAAATCGCTCGGTCCCCCTTTTTAACAATTCTTACCACCAAAAAAATTTTTTTTCTCCTGATTTTCGTTCCTGGCCAAGTTTTACAAGTTGTACACAAGGCTTTCTCCTTTTAAACGGGTCGTGTTATCAGGGAAAAATTTACATGTTTCTGCCAAAATTTTTTTGTAGCTTCCCCGCTGGACATGGCTCCCGAAAAAAATTTAAAAAATCTTTAAGCACAATTCGTTTTAAGTTATGTTATTTTCTAAGAAATTTTTTTGTTATACCAATATCCTTTGGTACTTAAATTTCGATAATGCTATCGCTTGCACAAGTGTACAGATTTATTGTGGTTGACAGAGCGTTTCACTTACAACACTTACACAGGGCTTTTACTCACCTCCTGTGCACTGTGCAAGTGATTGTATTGCTTAGTACTCAAGTCATTACATTCAGATTTATGAGTGGTTCACGAGTGTGTTATGAGCTTAGGAAGCACGATAACTTTCCTGCGAAGTGATCGGACGGTAAACACTGTAACCAGTATGTCGTTTCTGGTTACTGTGGTTACTAATGGTTACTGGTGACTGGTTACTGGTTACTTGTGGGTTACTGGTTATGTGGTTCTTGTTACTGTTGGTTATGATAAACTGGTTATAGGTTACTGGTTACTTCATACTTGTGGTTCCTGGATACTGGTTACTTCCTACTTGTGGTTAAGGTTACTGGTGGTTATTGTTATGTTGTTTAGGGTTACTGGTTAACTGCGTTATGAGTTACTGGTTACTGGTTACTGGTTACTGGTTACTGTTTACTGGTTACCTTAATTCATCCACCCTCTTGTCATTTGTGACGTGAGCACGACTTATGCGTGTGCCTTATTGTTAATCTGTATCTTTCTAGATCGTGTTGATGACTGGCTGAAGTATTAGGGGCCATCTAATTAGGACGGGCCGCCAAATCGCAGATTTTTTACCACCCCCTCCCCCTGTCGGGTATGTCCGACTTTTCAAAACCACCCCATCCCCCGGACTCCGGATTTCCAGCTACTTTCTATGAGTACAATAAATCATCTCAAATTCCTTGTTAATAAAATGTGTAGTGTTAAATCTTTCTTCGCTCTTATGAAGTTATGAGTGGGTCGATCCATGACAAAGGCCTGTTGCCGAAACGTCGATATCGTCGATCCTGTCAAAATTCAGGGGATTCTTAGACTTACAGAGTAATTAGTGTCAAAGAGTTGACATAAATGGGGACTTTTTCGTTAATTCTGCCAAAATCAGAAATCCTCCCTCCCCTGCCCGGATTTGTCCGAAATTCCAAAAGCACCTCCCCACCCCATCCTCTATTGGTCGGGACGTCCTAAGTAGATATAGATGGCCCCTTACGATTTGTGTTAAGCGTGACAGTAATACTGGGCAGCTGAATCCTCTTCAATTCGGAGCCTTATGGGTCGTCATTACCACTACAATTGGACACTTATCAGGAATCAGGGATAGCTCTATGTCACGAGTTTGTCCCGTACATGTAAGCTTTAGAACCAATCACCCCATATTATATATATCTAGCATTACACTAATCGCTAACTTCACCTAGCGATTTCTATCCTACAGTTCATACTTCCTTCCCGATCACTATAACACCTATAAGCGCACATACAACGACTCATCTGTTATGTTCTACTTCCTTGCCAGATCGACTTCTAACCTTAGAGGGTTGTTTACATAGTACGTCATCAATATTTTAGCAAGTTTCCCCCCTCCCGCCCTCCTTAATCAACCGTAATCAAGGACCCACCCCCCCCCTCCAAATTTGTTTCTAGTGGACATTTTCAGATCTCAAACCCATGGGCGGAAGTTTTATAGACGGACATTTTTTCAGACCCACGACTATCTAAAATCTGTGCTATCAAGGAGCCATGCTATTTGAATACTCCATAGTGTATTGTCAAATTGTTTTGGCAACCAATTATGGTCCAATTATTAGCAATAAATTCGTTCAGCCCCTTGCTCCGCTGGAAACTACATGACTAACGATGGATGTCAGGAATGTGAAGAGAACACTTACAGTTTCGATAAAACACGCGGAAATTTGCGTGTTTTCAAATATAATCGGGCTATCTAGATACTGCCCAGGTTTATACTTTTGCATTTCAACTACAATAGTGAAGTCCCGACCGTAGGCACGGGTAACACTAGTAACATTGTAATTCCAGAGCCGTGTGGAGAAGGAACATATCGGAATGATGCTATGACAAGCTGTGAGACATGTGACGCTGGATTGACACCAAACTCTGACAAAACAGCCTGTGGTAAGATAACTTTAAAGCTTATATTTGATATTATTGTTATGTTTTAAATTTGAATTAACTGTGCTATAGAATGAAAACCGAGGATATTGGTACTCACAATAACTTCTTAATAAGGTAGTTCAAACGAATTGCTGCTTAAAGATTTTCTAATTCTTCAGAGCCATGTCCAGCTGGAAGCTACAAGAACATTGACATGAACACATGTGAAGAATGTCCTGATAACATGATCAATTCAGAAAGATCAGCCTTGTGTACAACTTGTGAACTTGGCCAGGAACGAAACTCAGGGAGAACTGCGTGTGGTAAGGATTCTTATCTGAAGACCAGAGAGTAATTCATGATATTCTGCATTATTGAATTTTTTAACATTTGTAGCTCATTTTTCTCTTACTATTTTCTAATTCTTCAGAGCCATGTCCAGCTGGAAGCTACAAGAACATTAATATGAACACGTGTGAAGAATGTCCTGATAACATGATCAGTTTAGAAGGAGCAGCCTTGTGTACAACTTGTGAACTTGGCCAGGAACGAAACTCAGGGAGAACTGCGTGTGGTAAGGATTCTTATCTGAAGACCAGAGAGTAATTCATGGTATTCTGCATTATTGACATTTTTAACATTTGTAGCTCATTTTTCTCTTACTATTTCCTTATTTATCAGCTGAGTGTCCAGCTGGAAGCTATAAGAACATTGACATGAACACATGTGAAGAATGTCCTGATAACATGATCAGTTTAGAAGGAGCAGCCTTGTGTACAACTTGTGAACTTGGCCAGGAACGAAACTCAGGGAGAACTGCGTGTGGTAAGGATTCTTATCTGAAGACCAGAGAGTAATTCATGGTATTCTGCATTATTGAATTTTTTAAACATTTGTAGCTCATTTTTCTCTTACTATTTCCTTATTTATCAGCTGAGTGTCCAGCTGGAAGCTACAAGAACATTGACATGAACACATGTGAAGAATGTCCTGATAACATGATCAGTTCAGAAGAAGCAGCCTTGTGTACAACTTGTGAACTTGGCCAGGAACGAAACTCAGGGAGAACAGAATGTGGTAAGGATTCTTATCTGAAGACCAGAGAGTAATTCATGGTAGGTATTCTGCATTATTCACATTTTCAACATTTGTAGCTCATTTTTCTCTTACTATTTCCTTATTTATCAGCTGAGTGTCCAGCTGGAAGCTACAAGAACATTAATATGAACACGTGTGAAGAATGTCCTGATAACATGATCAGTTCAGAAGGAGCAGCCTTGTGTACAACTTGTGAACTTGGCCAGGAACGAAACTCAGGGAGAACTGCGTGTGGTAAGGATTCTTATCTGAAGACCAGAGAGTAATTCATGGTATTCTGCATTATTCACATTTTTAACATTTGTAGCTCATTTTTCTCTTACTATTTCCTTATTTATCAGCTGAGTGTCCAGCTGGAAGCTACAAGAACATTGACATGAACACATGTGAAGAATGTCTTGATAACACGATCAGTTCAGAAGGAGCAGCCTTGTGTACAACTTGTGAACTTGGCCAGGAACGAAACTCAGGGAGAACAGAATGTGGTAAGAATTGTTAACAAGGACCGAGCTAAGATGATTATATCTATATAGATGGGTAAAGATATGGTAGGGGTTAAGACGGGATAAGGATAAGGCGCCAGATAGGGCTAAGAATCAAGAAGGCAAATTTGTGGTACGAAAAGACAAGAACCGTAAGGGCGTAAGAGTCTGGGTTGCAATAATTTCCTCGAAAAACTGTGGAATATGTGGATATTTAATTTGTCACATATTGTTTATCTAATATTATTGTAAAACATCTGAACTGTACTTATATAATAACGATTTTCTTATATTCCATTACGATTTGCCAGTTATAACGTTATAATCCCAGAGCCGTGTGGAGAAGGAAAATATCGGAATGATGCTATGACAAGCTGTGAGACATGTGACGCTGGATTGACACCAAACTCTGACAAAACAGCCTGTGGTAAGATAACTTAAGCTTATATTTAATATTATTGTTATGTTTTAAATTTGAATTAACTGTGCTAAAGAATGAAAACCGAGGATATTGGTACTCGAAATAACTTCTTAATAAGGTAGTTCAAACGAATTGCTGCTTAAAGATTTCCTAATTCTTCAGAGCCATGTCCAGCTGGATTCTACAAGAGCATTAAGATGAACACATGTGAAGAATGTCCTGACAACACGATCAGTTCAGAAGGAGCAGCCTTGTGTACAACTTGTGAACTTGGAAAGGAACAAAACTCAGGGAGAACAAAATGTGGTAAGAATTGTTAACAAGAACCGAGCTGAGATTTATATCTATAATATAAGGCGCCAGATAGGGCTAAAAATCAAGGAGGCAAATTTGTGGTACGAAAAGACAACAACCGTAAGGGCGTAAGAGTCTGGGTGGCAATAATTTCTTCGAAAAACCGTGGAATATGTGGATATTTAATTTGTCACATATTGTTTAAATAATGTTATTGTAAAACATCTGAACTGTACTTATATAATAACGATTTTCTTATATTCCATTACGATTTGCCAGTTATAACGTTATAATTCCAGAGCCGTGCGGAGAAGGAGCATATCGGAATGATGCTATGACAAGCTGTGAGACATGTGACGCTGGATTGACACCAAACTCTGACAAAACAGCCTGTGGTAAGATAACTTTAAAGCTTATATTTAATATTATTGTTATGTTTTAAATTTTAGTTAACTGTGCCATAGAATGAAAAACGAGGATATTGGTACTCACAATGACCTCTTAAAAAGGTAGTTCAAACGAATTTCTGCTTAAAGATTTCCTAATTCTTCAGAGCCATGTCCAGCTGGAAGCTACAAGAGCATTAAGATGAACACGACGTGTAAAGAATGTCCTGATAACACAATCAGTTCAGAAGGAGCAGCCTTGTGTACAGCTTGTGAACTTGGCCAGGAACGAAGCTCAGGGAGAACAAAATGTGGTAAGAATTGTTAACAAGGCACTATCCGTCGCGGAGTAGAGTCCGCGGCGGAGCCGCCGGACTCCGAGCGGACTCCGAGCGGACTCCGGCGGTGCTCCGCCAAAATGTATTTACACTGGACTCGAGTACATTTTGGCGGACTCCGAGCGGAGCCGAGCGGACTCCGAGCGGACTTTAAAGTCCGCCGCGGACTCCGAGCGGCTCCGCGGCGGCTCGGCGGAGTGTCCGCCGCGGACTAAGCCACTAGGCGGACTCCGGTCCGCCGCGGACTCCGGCGGAGTGCTTGGCGGACTCCGCCGGACCTCTCCGCCAGACTTGAATCCGGCGGAGTCCGGCGGAGCTTGGACTCCGCTCGGAGTCCGCCGGACTCCAACAGAGTCCACTGACTTCCGACCTCCGACTTCCGACCCTCGGCTAAATTTGTCACGTGACATACAACATAGCCAATAGCATTTTGCGATATTGTGGTCAGATGAAAAGGTCGCTAGTGATAAACCTTAACCATTACCCTCACAATGTCAATAGTGTACAACTCTAGTCCTAACTTTGACCCTATAATGTATAAACGTTGACCCTAACCCTCCACCAAACCGTCCGCAGCGAAATATCAATGTCATTGACTGGTCACGTGACCAAAACAATTTTTGTCATATTATCTCATATAGGGAAGCGTTTTTAGTTTTACCCTACACGTTGCATGTGGCGTCATTCGGCCGGATCCCAGCAAGCAAAAATACGTCGACCATCACAGGACGACGCCAGCACTTTCTACGCTCGTCGAGCTCCGATCGTCCTGTGACGAAGTAAGGACGAAGCCTGAGGTCCTCAGGTAACATAGACCACCAATTGAAAATTCAGAGATTTTTGACATAAAGGTCAAATGTAAAACTAAAATCTTGATGTTAATTGATTGACGACGCGACGTCAATTTTTGAGCACAGCGCGAGCGCATGCGGAAAAGGACCGCGTAGCTAGTCAAGATGTTGATAAATATTTGGCTTGTGGCGCGATGTGTTGCTCTAAGTCTAACTATAGCCCTCTCGCTTGCAGTTACTGGGCCGCGCTCAGCCTGTCATTCCGCCTAATCTCTATTAACAACATTAAAGCCTGGGGTCCTCAGGTAAGCTTGCAGTAGCGCGCGACCGCCGGAGGCGGAAATGACCTGGTTAGCTAGGTAAACGCGATGTGCCTTGTAGGATGAAATCCTACTAGCTGACGCCACTCGCAGCTGTGCTGCTCGCTGTACGTCAGCGATCGAAATTTATACGCGTATCACCCGTTAAGATGTGCAACCCGACCTGCCACACAATTTTTCTCGTTGCTCGTCGCACGTCGACGAACAACAAAGCTCGTTGCGACGCGCAATGAGCTGCCAGGCTAGGACATCGTCCTGGTCCAACAAATTTTGGCGAGCGATTTTCTCCAAAAATTTAATGAGGGCGCCGACTTCCACTCTGGCTAGGTTTCTTTTTATCCAGCGCGCGTTCCTTAATGGGATGAGTTAAAATTAGGTAAAAAGAATCCACTGACTTGGCCAGAGTGCTTTCATAAAACTCTATTACTAGCTTGGCGTTGTAGGATTATATACTTTAATTTCGGATCGAGTGAAGCGAGTGATACACATTACTTTGATTAAACTCATGCTGATCACAATACAGTACAGGGAAATGGGTAACACGGCTTGCAGTCGCAGCTGCGGCTCCTCGCTGGCGGTAATATTTCAATGAACAAGAATTAAGAAAAAGAGAATTTAAGAAAAAGAGAATTTTATTTGCCACAGAATAATCAATACATATAATATACTTCAAAAAAAACTTCAAAATATATTGTTAGTTCATCTATCGTTCATAAGATGGGGTACTCTCAATAATCAAGTACATGAGTACCCGACCCGCCGCGCCACGCAAGCACCACACTGCAATTGAAATTGGAGATGTAAGCATAATGGGCGCGGGGGCGCCGCGCACGTGGATCGAGCCGGCCCTACGCAAATGCAAATGTACATGTCACAATGTCACACTCACAGTCACATTTATTAATTTCTACACAATTTATTCATTATACTTATCTGCCCACGAGTGCTGGTATCAGTTTGTGTCTTAAAACACTTTCTAGTGGTCTGAATAGTTCTGCTATGTTGGGAACAGTTCTTTGAAGGTATTGCCATCTGCAATTTACTCCTTTAGTGTATGCAGCTAACGCCTGTGGCTCATCGGCAGCAAAAGTAAAAAGTTTTTCTATATCCTTTACCCATTTCTCCATTCTCTACTTTCTTTTTGACATGATATTCCTCCTTGAACCTAGGGGTTCCAATTACCGCTCCGAGGTAATAATATATGTAACTATAATATAAGTTAAATTTTGAAGTGAAGGAAAAAGGACGAGTTTTCGATAATCTGTGATGATGTTTATGACATTATTTTTTATTTGATTTGATTTGATTTGAAGTCCGCTCGGAGTCCGCTCGGACTAGCTACGCGGTCCTTTTCCGCATGCGCTCGCGCTGTGCTCAAAAATTGACGTCGTCAATCAATCAACATCAAGATTTTAGTTTTACATTTGACCTTTATGTCAAAAAATCTTTGAATTTTCAATCGGTGGTCGATGTTACCTGAGGACCTCAGGCTTTGTCCTTACTTCGTCACAGGACGATCGGAGCTCGACGAGCGTAGAGAGTGCTGGCTGGCGTCGTCCTGTGATGGTCGACGTATTTTTGCTTGCTGGGATCCGGCCGAATGACGCCACATGCAACGTGTAGGGTAAAACTAAAAACGCTTCCCTATATGAGATAATATGACAAAAATTGTTTTGGTCACGTGACCAGTCAATGACATTGATATTTCGCTGCGGACGGTTTGGTGGAGGGTTAGGGTCAACGTTTATACATTATAGGGTCAAAGTTAGGACTAGAGTTGTACACTATTGACATTGTGAGGGTAATGGTTAAGGTTTATCACTAGCGACCTTTTCACCTGACCACAATATTGCAAAATTCTATGTTGTATGTCACGTGACAAATTTAGCCGAGGGTCGGAAGTCGGAGGTCGGAAGTCAGTGGACTCTGTTGGAGTCCGGCGGACTCCGAGCGGAGTCCGCCGAGCTGGCGGACTCCGCCAAGCTCCGCCAGACTCCGCCGGATTCAAGTTTGGCGGAGAGGTCCGGCGGAGTCCGCCAAGCACTCCGCCGGAGTCCGCGGCGGACCGGAGTCCGCCTAGTGGCTTAGTCCGCGGCGGACACTCCGCCGAGCCGCCGCGGAGCCGCTCGGAGTCCGCGGCGGACTTTAAAGTCCGCTCGGAGTCCGCTCGGCTCCGCTCGGAGTCCGCCAAAATGTACTCGAGTCCAGTGTAAATACATTTTGGCGGAGCACCGCCGGAGTCCGCTCGGAGTCCGGTTACCTGAGGACCCCAGGCTTTAATGTTGGTAAACAACATTAAAGATTGAATAGAGATTAGGCGGAATGACAGGCTGAGCGCGGCCCAGTAAGGAGTCCGGCGGCTCCGCCGCGGACTCTACTCCGCGACGGATAGTGCCGTTAACAAGAACCGGGCTGAGATGATAATAACTATATAGATGGGCAACGATATGGTAAGGGTTAAGACGGCATAAGGATAAGGCGCCAGATAGGGCTAAGAATCAAGAAGACATATTTGTGGTACGAAAAGACAAGAACCGTAAGGGCTTATAGTAAGAGTCTGGGTAACAATAATTTCCTTGACAAACCGTGGAATATGTGGAATGTGGATATTTAATTTGACAAATATTTTTTAAACAATGTTATTGTAAAACATCTGAACTGTTTATATATAATAAGGATTTTCTTATCTTCCACTACGATTTGCCAGTTATAACGTTATAATTCCAGAGCCGTGTGGAGAAGGAACATATCGGAATGATGCTATGACAAGCTGTGAGACATGTGACGCTGGATGGAAACCAAACGCTAACAAAACTGCCTGTGGTAAGATAACTTGGAAGCTTATACTGTTGTTACACAGTATTTGAGACTCGGACCCCAAGCAAGCAATGGTATAGTTATGTTAGATCTGGTTGCTTGAAAGGGTTAGGATTGGGAAAGGAAACAAAATCGTGGGATAGAACTGTTAAAATAGCGGTTGTAATTATTGTTGTAATTATCGCGCAACCAAATTAATCAGGTCAACGTGATTCAATATGATATATCTGCAGTGAGCTGCACGGGACTAAAGGCTGAGTGGAGAACTACGATCAGAACCACGACACAGTTCCCAGTAGTTCCAGGAACTGTGGTGGAGGTTACATGCTTAGAATCTGGAGCTATCAATAAAGGGAACAGTGAGGTGACCTGCATCTCAGGAACGGAATTTACTTTCGATTTTAATGAACCCGAGTGTATACATCCAGGTATTGAAACAGTAAACATGCTAAATAACCATAGCATCACCATAAAAGGATAACTTAAAGGATAACTTAACAAAAAAGCGAGATGACTCGGACCGAACATTTTCTAAGTCAACAAATTTACAAAGTTATCTTGGAAACAGCTTTTGTTTACGTTTCAGGTTACCTTGATCATTATGAGCCATAAATATTTTTTCGAAGCAGACCATTTGATACACAATTTTTCGAATGTAGGTACTGACTATTTTCGGCTCATAATGATCAGGGTAGCATGAAACATGAACAAAAGTGGTTTCCAGAAAAACTCTGAAAGATTTCGACTGAGAAAATTTTCTGTTCAAGTCATTCTCGATACGTACCTCTAAAGGGTAGGTGCGGACTTCGAAACCGAAAAAATATTTTCGGCTCATATTGAACAGTGTAGCATAAAACATGCACTGAAGTCTGAAGTACCTTAGTTCGTTTAATTATAACTTTATAACGTGTTAAATTTGGCGGTTTTTCTAAAATTTTTACACGCCATTATTTCTACCCGTCAAAATAAAACCCGCCGAGTAAATTTTTGGAGTTCTGACAGGGTCTATGTCATAATAATTTAATGTTCCTTTTTTACATTGAAACAAGCGTCATGGAATCACTTTTTAGGTATTCCGACCAAAACGAGGTGATTTATTCGAAAAAATCAAATACTTTGGTTGTTATGGACGGGATGATGATTAATCACTCTACACTTGACTGTCACGTGACCTTTTTTAACACGTTCTCTAGGTGGCCCTGAATGACTATTCGAAACCCTAATCCTTACTCAATCCCTAACTGAAGCATACCTTATCGGACCTTATTTGGACGGACATTACATGAACGGAACGGACATAATTGTGAACGGACATTAATATGAACGCTCGAAGGCATTCAAAACCATCAAAAATCCGAATTTTTTCAATTTTTTTGACGTTTTTTAAATTTCAGCAAATGATTTTTAAATCCATTTTTTATACAGTAAGTAAGAAAAGCAGTCATTGAGCAGTAAAAATGTTAAAATATGTGTACATGATCAGTGTCTAATATCACATATCATCTTCATCAAATGGGTTTTCGTGCATGAAATAGTCCATGCTTAAAGCATCAGTGATTTCTAGCTTTATGGAAACCTTTTTTATCAAACTACCCCGGTCCTGCATTTCAGTGTTAACTTTTACAAGCCATTCGGCGTGAAGTGGTTTTATCTTAGACAACTTAGGTTAACCTTAACATCACGTGGAGCTTTCCTAGCACTGTTTCATGACCGCCCCCGAGTAATATGAACTATAACAACGTCGGACAATGTCCTTGGAAACACGATTTACCGTAATATCTAGAGGCTGGAACAAGTTTGTCATGTTGGCGGGGACTAGTTCATGAACTATGTTGTTGAGTGCCATAATTTCGTTGACTTTTTGTGATGTACCTAGATGTGGTAAGTAGACCCATTTTTAAATATTTTAAACTTAAGCTAGAGAATTGCCTACGGAAAAAATTATATCTTGAGTATACGCAGGGTGATCCCCTACTAGAAACTGCTCATTAGAGATATCATCAATCCCAAGACTTTTGTAGTTCTTCAATTTTTTGAGGGCAAGAGAATACATGCTCAGAAAAAAAACAATGGAATGGCTGGTCCAGACTCCAGTATGACGGAATAAAAAATTGGTCAAGGAATAATAACTTTAGGTCCTGCAATTTGGACCCCCGAGTGGTGTCAAAATCAAAAAATTGAAACAGAACCCCCCAAAAAATAAAAAAGAAATAAAAAATGTGAATATTATGAGATGTAATAATACAATCTTACAGAGAAACATGCCAGCTGGGCAGTATAAAACTCTGCAGCATGATAACATGTGAAACTGTGCACTCCGGGAACATTAGATCAGCTGACATGGTCTGCAACCAAGTGGTCTCTTGTAGGGAAACATGATTAGGTCCTATAGAGGAAGCTATTTTCTGTAGACAATGTGGATAATATATTGGAAAACTCAGAATAAAACTCATTGTGGTAAGTGAGGAATAATATAGAAAGTGTCTATCAGGTTTAAGTCGTTTATATATAGTAGTTTCGTCTAGATTTAGATTTTTGGAAGGATTTTTTTAAATTGTCTAAACATATGATTCTAAGTTTTTGTTATCAGTACTAAAGCAATTCAGCCAACTTATTTTATTGAAATTGTTTAATTTGCAAACAAAAACAGATGGGCTTTTGAATAACTATGACGATCTAAAAGTTCAAAGCTTAATTAAACTATGAAACTACAATAAAATGTCAATAATTTCAGAGATTGTGCACCTGGGTGGTATTCTCGCAATGGAGGAACGAACCTAGCTGCCTGAGATGTGATCCCTCTGAATACCAACCATTATCCTCAACAAAACCCGATGGTTAGCCTGCGCTGGATTCTGTCAATAGGGGAAAGACAGCTTGCTTGACTGTAAGTGCCAATGTCAGGTGTGGGCGTATTTCCATCACGCTAACGTGGATGAATAATGGGATCACCGATAGAATTTGAAGAAACCTGGGCAGAGAACAGAAGCTCAGTTAACTGTATGGAGATTCATACAAGAAAAATTACAAAGAGTTGACACTGTAGGATGGATATTGGATGATAACACTGACACGATGAATGTGGATTCCCCACGGTAATCTTGCTTGCATCTGTACTTGAAGTTTGAAGTGTACTGGTATGAGACAAAGTAACACGATCTCAACAAAAGAACTGAACTGTGTTGCTGATGCGGGGAGCAGAAACTATACTGTACCCAGAGACGCTCATGAAATTGTTGATCTCTTTCGGAAATTAACCAAACATCCTACATTCTGAGGTGAACGAGCCTAAGTTTGTTCTGATAAGGGTCAAATGGAAAATTTGAGGAGGGGAGAATCTAATTTTAGGGAATCGGAGAATTCTGAGATATATAAAGATTTTGGAAAATGTGTCCAGTTTTTTTTTTTCCCCCAATACTGGATGATATCATAATAACAACGGACTCGATTTGTATTGCAATCAGTCACTCAAGAAATGTCTACAAGAAAAAACATGCCATTAACCTGGACTGACTCCTGAAAATGTCCAGGGCAGACGGATCTTCCCTTCATGCTAGATTTCGGGAACCAAACGAGGACAAAAATAAATGTGGCTGGTATGATGAATCCTTTAAAAAAATGCTGCCGGAAACAACAACTCCAAATAGCACTTTTGGGCTCTCCAATAGTCTCAATCATCTTTTTAGACAGGAAATATTAGCGGCTACATTCTTTTTTCACTGGTCTTCCAGAAAAAGAAGGATTCAACTTTCATCTGGGGAGAACTTCAAAGAAATGTGTTATCTTGACGTAGTAAAGGATGAATGTGACTGAGGGTTGCACAACTATACCTAAATGAAGACAAATCCGGCATGTGCACATGTACTACATACATAAAGCTTTGCGTGTTATAAGTCCACAGGATGTGACAGATCCAGCCCAGGATATCTTCAGCTACTTCTATGTATGCAGTAACCTTTCTTCCTGTTCCTGACCTCTGGGCCGGATGCTTCCGTTTCAAGAAGCTGCGACAGAAGCAGGCCACCTCTGATCCAACTCACTCTTATACTGGCTCTGATATTGGCTAACCTGTCCTTTTACACTCTCCCTTTTGCCTCTACCAAAATTAACTGAGGACCAATCGGGGTAATCCCATCTATTGTCATTAAACAAAGGATTTTTTGTGTTGCAGGTGTGTTCATTACCTCCAATACTTCTGTCTGTCTGCTCTTTTCTTCTTTTAGTTGGATGGGTGCTGTTTGGAACTTCTTTGGAAAGATAGTTAATGTAATTAAGACCTTCGGAAATAATGAAAAAGGGGGTTTTTTTTCTTCCACAATGTGTTTAGGGCTGTAAGTTGGTTAATACCACTGATTATTTCAGTTGCAGCCTTCTTGACGATAACTACACACTGAATAAGGGACGACTACTCGACACCTTATGTTGGGGCAACAAGAAAGATTGCACCAGCTGCTGGGTTTGAAGTTCTTGGGTATGTTGGGGTCATCGGTGCCTGCATACACAATTCTTCTCTTCAACTGTGTCTTGCTTTGGAATGATAAGCTGAGAGAAATTATCCGAGCAGCAAATTCTGAAGTGGTATTACTAGTATAGAAATAACAGCTAAAGTATTGATGATAGTTGCATGTCTCAATTGGGTGTCTTGGAATTGTGATTGGACCTTGCTGTTGGTACTGGTGTGTGTTCTTGGCTAGTACTTGTTCATTTTTCTAAAGGACTACAAGGTCCTCTCCTTTTTACTGCATTTGGTCGTTTGTTCCAAGAGATGTCAAGACAACACACATGCTTTATTTGGAATAAATCAGTCTAAGAAGAGGAGGGGAAAAAGAATGTCAGCTTTGTACTCAGGCTTCTGTTGTCAATTCTAATGCTTATGCGAATTCTTCTCAAGGATCTGAAGCAGTGTTGCCGAGAAAAAAGATGGAAGACACATAGGAAGATTTAATTTATGAAGATGTCCGAAGGAATGTGAGATAGAAAGGATAGAGAAAGGATCTGACGAGATGAATCAGGAGGAGAAAGCAAAACCAGGATGTTGGGAAAAATAGAAACTCCCCAATCTCCAGTATAAACTATGAAATAAGGAACCAGGTATTTACTTATAAAGGAAATGGTTTGCTGGTAGGACAGTAAACTTCATAGCTTAGTTTGGTGGTGAATCAGACATTTTTCCTTACAGCAGATTTTAGGACTTATATAAGCATTTTTATTGTTGGAGTAGCCCAAAATCTGCCTCTGTTTTTAAGCCACGTGTTTAAATATGTAATAGCTGTCTGTAGAGTGTAGAAATAGACATTGTGAATATTTTTGGATTTATTTTGTGCACATATTAGCACATATTTTTTGAACCCTGATATTGAACACGAAAATTAATTTATAATAAGAAACTCATTAATATTAAGCATTTCAGTTTGTATAGTTTTTTATTCAAATGTTTGATTGTTTCTGAATAGACTCTATGATGACAAGATTCTAGGGGAAATATATAGAGTCACTATCAATAGGCTTGAAGGTTGGCTTGGAATAGCACGAAAAGGGACCCTCAAAGGGATTCGTTAATGATTACGGTGTAGCTATACTGGTATAGTGTAGAGGTTTTCTATAATGCACATTGTAAACAGTTAAATTATGCTGACCCCTCCTAAAGTACAGGTTGGATTACCAATGATCTCAGTTCATTTCATTCCATTGTGCTATCAATACCACCCATGCACCACTCGGCCTCAGTACCTTACTTTCCTTATCCGTCCTATAGAACGACTGGAGAAGCTCACTTCTTGATCACTTTTCAGTAATATCTTCACTTCCACCTGGCTAAGCTTTATATAATTCTTTCTTGTATCGAGCTATATATAACTTGGAACCGACGTACTCTTTACCCTGCGAGATAGTAGCAGACCAGGTGCTGTTTTTTTAACAGAACTTATAAACATACATCGGAAGGAACATGTTTGTACTGGGCATTATTGTCAGATATTGACCCTGAGTTCAGACTCCTGACCAATTATTTTTTACTGCAATACGGGTTAGTGTTTAATTCCTCTATTATTTTTGTGTTTTTTTTTTCTGAGGTACCTCATTCAAGCATTTTTGCATTATTGCGGATACAATTTGGATTTAGTTTCTTTTATATTTCAATTATTTAAATTTTTAACGTTTTTATAACTTCATTCCATTGGTAATATTTACAATTCAGCCAAATTGTATTGAGAATTTTTGGGTTGTGGCAATTTATTCTCAAAAACATAGAAATGACTCCTAAGTTTCACAGCTCATATATGCCCATTTTTCTCCTTCTGCTCTTGGGGGGACCCAATGTAATTGCTCGAATTTTTGGACTTTCCATCAGGTCTCTCGGGCATGTTGTTCTGGTTATTTGGGTGTATGTGTCCCCGGATTGTTATAGCGCTGTACACTTGTCAAGGATTTTTTTGGGTTTCTCTAGGTCCATTTTTAGAAATTCTATACAACAGGATATTGTAATAAATTCGGTTGATAATAATATTGGAATGATTTCAATAAAAAATAGCTGAATAACACATCGACATTTTCTAACGTCATACTCATTATTCTAAAATAGTATTTAATTCAATTATAACAGATCAAATATCGTACATACAAAATTTGCGACGTGAATTTATTTCAAACAAAATAATTATAACTGTAAAATAGTTAATCCAACGTAAAATAGGTTGTTATAGTAAACAGAGCATATATGAACATATAAAATGACATAAATTTTTTCATCAATAGGGCTCATCTGTAAAATTAACGATTAGAGTGTCGTACCAGACGTGTAAGGAGATAAATGAGTAAATGAGTAAATGAATTAAGCGACTGCAGAACAGTGAAATTTAAACGAAAATATTACTACGAGGGTGGCCCAATAACGTGACTAACACACGCAACCTCTTAATATACTCACGTAATTTCGTCTTCATATTGCACCAAAATTTCGAGAGTAGAGATATGGGTCAATCTGAGATTTCCTGAAAGTTTCGTAAGCTCGCCCTAATTACAGTGGGAGTGGCGTGACACTCCATCTTTTTCACTATGGTTTACATAAATATGTGAAACGCTTTAAGCTAAGAACTCAAAATTTTTTGCACATCATTTGGATTGTTAATTGAAAACCTTTCCCATAGGTTTCAAGTTATTGGTTAAAATATGGCTAAGTTATGTCATTTCAAAAATCCATCGGATACGTGATCCGAGCATCAGTCGTGTTCTCGTTATTGGTTAATGGCCTGTTTGGATCACATGCGCCGCTTGATTGTGCCAGCCTGGCTTTTCCTGAAAAGGTTACGATCTGGTGCGCATCAGTTCTCGTGGAAGCCTAGGACCTTAACTTTTACGTTGAAAAAGGGAACGTAGAGTGTCAGTCAACCGGAGTTCGCTATATGGATCTGCTGGAGAACAAGTTTTATCCTGATCTGTCGCAGTTCTCCTTCAACTTTCCCCTACTCACAGGACTGGTGGTTAATGCCAGGATGGAGTCGACCTCACATCGTTCGACCAGTTCAGATTTTCATCGCAACTAGTTCGCCCACAGAACACATCGGACAACATCTTGAACACACTGGCCGGCTAGAAGTCTTGTCCCTTACACCGTGTGACTTCTTCCTGTGGGGGTGGGTGAAGGACCAAACGCTATAAGAGCTATCCTATTGCAAACATCACGCAGATCTAAAGCATCCACCCTGATCGACCTATCATCCATAATATTGACCCAGCGTTTGCTACGATCGCTTGTCGGATGTGTGATAGAAGCGGTGCTCATGGTGTTTGCAGCTGGGGGAGACATTTTGAACCATCTTAATGAATTTTTTTGAAGTGTTTTTGTGTGGGATTTTTATTAGTTGATTTCATTTTATTTTTTTTATCCTAAAATTTTGTGTTTTACCTTTCTAGCAAAGTCATCATTCGGTATCAAAATCAAAGACTTATGAAACCTCTTATTTACACGCTTACGCATTACGCTTGATCAGATTGGTGACGAGTTCACTAATTGAGTGCCTAATATCCACTGACTGGAGTGCTAGGATCAAATATCCGATGGATTTTAAACTGGTCATAACTCAGCCTTTATTTGAACCAATGAACTTGGAAATACCTTTTGGGAAAAGTTTTCAAATTATCATGCAAATATGCTGTGCAAAAATTTTGAGTTCTTTGTTAAATGCGTCTCATTTTAGAAGTCAATAGTGAAAAAGAGGAGCACCCCCCCCTGGGTCACGCCACGCCCAATGTAATTGGGCGCTCGGCTTACGATAACTTTAAGGAAATCTAAGTTGGGTCCCATCGATATTCTCTGATAAGTGTGGAGGCAAATTTGGATGACGAATTTAGTGAGTAGTTCAGAGGTTGCGTCGTGGGTTGTCACTTATGGGCCACACTGATGTAAACGTCATTTCAACTAAAAAACTGTGGTTTGATTGGGCTTCTCTTTTTGTTGTTGAGTCGGTGGTTTCTTTTAACTAAAAATCGGGGTTCTTCATTTCTTTATGTTCGATGTGTGATGTTCCTCTGTCTACGAGGTGAAGTTTTTGCTTTGGGGGGCCTGTGTGGGATGGTGACTTTCCCTGGAGTGCTTTGATAGTGGCGTATCTTCAATGAGTTTTTGCTGTTGGGTTTTGCTGCAATACGGTTAATGCTCGTCGATACCTGCACTTTAGATTGTAGGCAATTGCAACCGTAGAACTTATGGTATGTATGTTTCCACCACACCATAGTTTCGGGTGGCATTGTCTTACTTCGATAGTAGTGATGTGGTAGAGGGGTTTGTTGTGGTGCATTACTCCATCGGTTATATGCTGCGCATCGTTCTGCAGTGTTGCCGTTGTTATTGTGAAGATGATCTTTAATCTTTTCTGGACCCGTTCTTACTATTTTTCTTTGTTGTTAGAGACTGTTACATACGCTCACACAGTAGCATTATTTGTACGTGTTGTATGCTGAGAGTTGTAGTGGAGGGATTTGGCTTTTTCTGTGGTTGTATATTGAGTTCTATGATGTACTTTTCCATCCTGAGACGATTTTTATTTCCGTGTTGAGGACGGGAACAATTTCGTTCTGATTTTCAGAGGTGTCTACAGTTTGTTGATAAGTTTGTCAGGGTCTTGTTGTTCGATTGGTTGCAATGTTTGTGAGCTATTCGTTTGTTTGGTGGTGGGCTCCGTTAAGGTCGTCGGTAAAACCTGATGTAGGGTGCAAGTGGGGCAGTTTTTCTACTCAGGTTTACGTAGAACGGAAAGTTTTTCCAGTTTTCACTCTGACTGTTGGCTAGATTTAGGTTGCAGGGGTTTGGTTCCTTGATCAATCCAAGAAGCTGTTGATAGATACTTGAATGTTGTACTTGTAGAAATAAAACATAAATATGACTTTCATAGGGTTGTCTCTAGTTGTTCTTGTAAATCAGAGTGATGGAGACCTTTTGTATTGTATTGACTGTCTATTTTCTTTAGCAATTCCTGACATCTTCTATTGCGTCGGTTAGTTCGTGCTGTTGGTGCTATAAAGCTTTGACGGCTGTGTTATAAGAAAGTAAGACTCTTCTATTCATTTGGTGTGTTGTTTTAATTCCTTCGAAGGAAAATCGGGCAGTGTTTTTCAAATGTGATGGTACGAGATTCATCAGAATATCAGAGGAGATAGATTGTGACAGACAAAGCTAAGGGATTTTGTGAAATGGGGATTTGCAGCCTGAAAACAATAGTCTAGTTTTCTTTTTGTCAGGGTTAAGGGTCCTTGATTTCTGGCTCACTTTAAGCATCACTGCAGTTAGCGAGGGTGGTTGTGATGGCTCATTAACAGCTGTTAGTGTCATCTGAGGGAGATTACGATATTTTGGCAATGATTCTTGAATGAAGTGTTAACTTCGTATTCTAGGTTTTAGTTAACTCTGTTTTGTACTTTTGTTTGCCCCAGTTTATCCTGAAGGTGTTGAAGACCTTCAAATTTACGTTGCTGACAAAACAGCCAGAGTTTGTAGTATTGCCCAAGAAAGATTACATCAGGACAATACTACAACTCACCTCGACAAGGGAATCGTATACAAGTAAGATAGACATAGGAAGTCACCCTCCAGCTCACAGGCCCTCAAAGCTTAAACCTTCACAAGAGTAGGACAGAGGCAGCCACCAATCTATCAACAGGAGATTGGAAGTAAGCCTGATTTTTAGTTGAATAAAGAAACCACACTCAGACGAAAAAAAACAGTGTTTGAACAATATATCACTGTTTTTAGTTAAGTGAGACAGTAAATAGTTATTTTTTAGTTTAACTTTCACTTCTATGCTGTCCATTAATTTTTTTATCTTTTTAATATTTTATTCCTGTTACTCGTTCTCGCTATTCGTTAATTTTCTGATGAGCCATATTTGATTAAACTTTTGTCTGGTTTATGGTTATATTTGCTATGATTTCTTAAAAACTATTTTACAGTGGATAACTATTTTACAGTTTATATATTCTTGTTTTGAAATATAATATCCGTAGTCAAATTTTTTATTGTTCATATTGATCGTTTTAAAGTTATAATTGAATTAAGACATATCATTAAAATATGAGTATGAGTAGAAATATCGATACGCTTTCAGCTATTATTTCCATTAGAATCTGTCTTCACTGAAATCTATTCAGAAAGAATCAAAAAATTTGAATAAAATAACTATCAATCGGGAAACGGTTCAGGATGGGCGGAAGACGCGTGGGCGGAGGTCTCGTAGGCGGAAGACTTGGAGGGGATGGAGGACGCAAACGCGGAAGTTTTCCTAAAGGTTGGGACTCGAGGGCGGAGTCGCGAGGGCGGAGGTCGATTCAATGATTTGGGCGGTAAAGTCTCGTTAAAACCGATCACTTGTCCTAAATGCTCGACTGGTAATAATTCAAAACCTGAAACATCTCACATCGTACTTCATATTGTATAAAAAATTATATAAGTTATATTACAATCATTTTGTGGTACTGATTTTCGAATTATTGTAACTTTAAAAACAAAATACACTGGGTTATAGAGACGCTAAGGTAATATAAATCACAATGTATTCAATCAATTTTGTCAAAACCCGAATAGGAATAATATCTTGACTATAACATAAACATTTCACCATAGCACTCTTTAGCAAATCTAATATAGGTTAAAATATCTTCATCGTACGAATGGTAGTTCTGAACTATGATGAGGATATCTTCTTTCCTTCGTCGTGTTGGCCTTCTTCCTCTTAGGCGGCATGCAACATCCCAAGCAATTCGCTAAGATCTTCTTGTTCTGTCGAGGACTGTTACATCTGGACTGCTGCATTGAAATTGTAGATGGTCGGGTTTGGTGTCGACTAGATGCAGAGAACTTCTTGTTTCCTGGACTCCACCACGTTGTTTGTCCGCGGTTCATGTGACAGTGGCATGCGTTCATATGCATTCCACGTGGAACGGAGGGAATTTAGCTCGGGCCGGTGCCGGAGGCAGTGCTCAGTCCCTGGAGCAACGTGGTCTGGAAGTATGCCAGGGGATCGTCAATGGCGAGGCCTATCGTTATCTCATCCAGGGATTCTGAAAAAAACGATACGATGACGTCCTCGTGGGGGCATGATAGGCTAGCGCCATCTGTCTCCGTATCCAGATTCGTGTAGGGGTGTAGGTCGTCTGGCCAGATGTGGGATCTGTCAGGACTTTTTCTACTCACTCTTGTTTCCAAGCCTTCCCGACGCTCTCATGACAGCCTGGAAGATATGAAAGAAGCCACCCATCCAATTGGGATGATCGAATGTAGACGATGGGCGTTCCATCAGGGCGAGCTCAAAGGTCACATGATTCGGTCTGGAGAAAAGGAACCAAGGTTTTTGAGGGCGCCGCACGCTTCCATGTAGATGGTGAGGGTCCTTGTGGGTCAGGAGAATGTAGACGCCAGGGACAGCAACAGGTTGGAATCCTCCGTGAGTTCACCATCTACCGCGTGGACAGTCAGTTAAACTGATAGAAACAGCTGCGGTGTGGATGAGAAGGTTGCGGCGATATACCAGCTGCTGCTTGCTCTAGGGGCTGGTCAGGTTGTTTTTTGTTGCCGAGATGATGACACGTCGATCGTCCAGGTTGTTGGTCGTATTGAAGCATAGGTTCACCGGAAAGGGATCTGAAGTAGTTCTCGTCCCTCTTCAGTTGAAGATCTGCGAGGGATGAAGGTGCCTCTGGGTCTAGGGTTTCAGTATCGGCGGGCTCTCTGTGCCCTTCTTCTTCTCCGTAGCTTGTTCGTTGGGGTCCAGGTGGCGGGCAAGATGCTATCTGAGAAATGGGACCATGTAACGGAGCAAACGATGTTGTGGTTAGTTGTAATCGTCGTAGCTGCAGATCCTGGACTTTTGGAGGAATTCTATTCAATGCACATTCAGCGACTCATCAGCGTCGTTGGTTATGTAATACGGTGTCACTTTCACCACGGACTTCACAATAAAAACGGCGATTATTTAAAATACTCCGTTATGCCACTTGCACTATGCACTATGCATGAACAATGAACATTGTTAACAGTCATAGTGGAATAAGCTTCCTGGGCTTCAATCTGCCTCATTGATTTATGACAGTAAACACTTGCAAATGTCTAAGGCTGTGCCTCTATCTCGCTCTCTCTCTCTCTCATTACGTGAAGGCTAAATCATTATCCACAGTTATGGTTACCTTATTCTCACTTCAAATCATTATCCTTCACTTCACACTTTAATCACACCAAAACAGTTCACACGCCTAAATCTTACCTTCCCTAAGGTATTCCATAATCACTGTTACAAATAAACAGGTTACAAGGTAAGATGAGTTTTATACACCCGAGCAAGGGCCAAGGACACCAACGTTACTATTCTCTACTTAGTTATGCTAGGGCTCCTGAAGTACCCTGGATACACCTAGTGGAACACGCGGCCACTAGTGATGTACCGGGCAGCACCATGAAGCAAGATCTACACGGTGAGACTTTACTCGGACGTGGGCGCCATGGGTAAACAATGGGGGTCCACATTTTTCGTCTGCCTACCGGCATCTCCACCCTCGTATTATTCTACAGACTAGGTTCACATAACGAGTTAACAAAAATACCTGTTCGTTCACCTATCCTTCGAGTCTAGCCTCGCGGATCGGAAACTATTGCATTCTTTTACATTTTTAAGGATGATCCCAGTGGATAAAGTGGTTCTTATTTCTATAGCATCAGTTATTAAAATTTTAAAACCAAAACATTTAATATCAAATATAAGCTTTAAAGTTATCATCAACGTCCACATGCTCACTGTTGTCATAGCATCATTACGATATGTTCCTTCTCCACAAAGCGTTGGGGGAAGATAAGAAAATCACTAGAATATAAGTACATTTCAGTTGTTTTACAATAACACGTGTTTACTTAGCTAGTTTATTGTTTTCCTGGATAGTTAGAATATTATTTTTACCAGGCTAGATAAGAATATTTGTTCGTTGGTTAACTTTTTCCATATACGTACTGTGTACTTGCTGCATTCAGCATTTTTCATTAAAATGGAGCTATGGGAATGTTTTAGCAATACTCTTTAGTGAATATTTACTTAATTACCAGCTTGAGCACAGTACTTGTGGTTAAGTCAGAACTGCGGTACCTCAAAGCGTCAAGTGGATTATTTATGACTTACCCTGCCAGAATATCCACAATGCAGAACAAAGGACTTGAACAACATTCTAAGGATTCACATGCATAAGGTTACTATACTGCTCTTACAAATGTTTCTATACTGCACCTTACATGGCAAATTTCTGCACCTTATCTGCACCATTACTGCACCTTTACTGCCACCTAACATAGTGCTAAGTCTGATTGGCAAGCTGACTGAACTTGGAACAGCTAAAGACCGTACACATTGTTAAGCCTATCGAGTGGTTTACACACTACATCGGACGATGGTGGCGTAGATCTTTCCCTTGTGTGCGTGTGAGCTTTTGTTCTGTAGGGTGCTATCTCTCCGAACCATCAGAGCGAGGATCTTCGCCACCTGAGGAGGTGTAGGATTATCTTTATGTAGGAAGAAGGGACACAGGGCGTTAATGTGGACAATGGTTAGACAACGTGTATTGGCACTAAGCTATCGTTATGGTATAGGTGTATCTATACAATTGTACATACGGTTTGTGGGTCAAACGGTTTTTTTTCTCAATTTCATAACTAATCCATGCTTTATTAGATTAGTGGACATTTGTTTTTAATGCCTAAGCCTGACAAGAACGAAGAAAAGACTCAGGGTATGAGTAGTTCAAGCAAACAACATTTTGTCGTCTTACTGAGTTGTTTCATGTGTTTCCTCCTGATTTTACAATCATTTTGGGAAAATTTGAGGTTCTGCCTAGATAGTGGTCCCCAATTCTACATACTTGTTTAAATATTCCTCATTTTATGTCCAATCTCCATACTTTTTATTATGTTGATTATTGGACGACTTCCTCATTGACTCGTGGGCGATTGAAATAACCAAGGACTTTTACTGTTTGTATTTTATCATATTGTGTAAGTCACATTTCCAACGAAAGCAAATCTCCAATTTACCTGGAGAACCATCTAGGTCCGATCTTTACTCGGACTGGGCGCCATTGTTAATCAAATGGGGGTCCAAATTTTTCGTCTGATACCTGCATCTCACCCTCGTATTAATTAAAAAGCCTAGGTTCACAATAACGAGTTACAAAACCTGTCCGTCTCTTATCTTCGGAGTCCAGCATCGCAGTAGTGGCCTATTTTTACATTTTTTTACAGCATGATCCCAGTGGGCATAAAGTTGTTATCAATTTATAGCACAGTTAAATTCAAATTTAAAACATAACATTAATATTAAATATAAGCTTTAAAGTTATCTTACCACAGGCTGGTTTGTAAGAGGTTTGGTGTTAATACAACTTTTTACATGTTGACTATTAATGTTTCTTTATCATATAGTGTCGTCACAACATTTCAGCGAAGAACGCAAATCTACATAATAACAGTAGATCGGTTACAAATTCATTTTTCAACAATATTTGGCGCGTGTTATCTAATTTCAACATAATCCTACGTTAAAAAAACTGTGCACAATTCCAGTTTCTGAGGGTTATTGTTTTCGAGGTTATCCATTAGCATTTGTGTGTTTTCCTGATAGCAATACAATTATAATTTGTATGAACTCAAAGCTGTATTTGTTTGTGTTTTATAATTATGATTTATGGTACATTGTTATTTTTTATATTTATATTTTAGGCCTGTAACTTATTTGTTCATTGGAATATACCTCAGCTTGCACTTGGTTGCAGCATCGCCTTCTCTTATGGGTGCTTTTAGGGCACGATGTAATTGCTATGTCAGTTTACTGGTCAACTGGTGTTTCGGTTGTCCCTTATTTTGTTTACACTCGGTCACTTGTCAAGTCATGTAAGGTCATTCGGCGAATTTTCGTTTAAAATAAAATGATGTATTTGGTAACAATTTGATTGTTTATTGATAAAAAAAAGGACATTGGGATCAAGTAACTATGTAGCGTGATAATCCCGTTAGTTGTTTGCTTGCTGTTAGGGAGAATGCTGAGGGGAACGACCAAGAGTAACTATAACATCTATTGAGTATTTTGGTCTACATTATGCAATAATATTACGAGACATGAAACTGCTCTTAAACACTTTGCCATTTGTCATGATTGGATGCCTCGACCTTAAACATACTATGACAATCGGGATAAAAAAGTTAAAATGTGAGCAATGGTGCTGGTCACGTCGGCCGGGTGGTTTAGTGGTTTTTATTCATTTGCTTCCCCACAGAACGCCTGGGTTCGATTCCCAGTGGGGACCAATTAGGTCGAATGCAGTTCGGTCACCAATCATGATGTAAATGCTTTCATTAGAGCTTCGAAAAAACTTTTGGAGAAAAAAATTGAAATTTTCTTTAGTCTCAAAAAAATGTCAATGTGAAGTCGTGAACCAATTTTCGTTTTTCTAAAAACTACATTTCCCTGTGTTTCAAAAACTTCGCTCATTTGATGACAATAAACATTTTTATGATTTTTTTTTTTGTTATTTAGCTATTATAATAAGTAATTACCCAATTATCTGAGTGTCTGTCATAACATTTTTATGATAAAAGTTTTTCGCTCGATATGATAATCACTTTCTAAATCTATTAATTTCTTACCTCTTACAGTCTTACGATGTTTTACAAGTGAAGATATTTGCAACAAGGAAAGGGATGTTAAATAAGTGGGCAAAAGTGGGCTCTGTCACGGGGGAAAATTTTGGAAATAAAAAAATTGGTCACCCGAATGAAACCTAAAAATTTAACCCTAAAAACTTCATTAAAATCTTTTGGAACCTTCTTGTGTTCCGTGTCAGTAGGTTTAATTTTTTTTTTTCAGACCGGATCTGTCTGTACTTTCTTTGCCACTCTGTACCGCCAATGTCCATTCTCTCGTATAAATACTTGACCTGGTTAAGGTAAGCGTGACCCTCGTCACGTTATCCACGCCAGTTGGCTCGAGTACATTGTATCTGCTGTGCCTGCAAGTCAGGATCGGATTGGTAGTAGGCTAGGCATTTGAATAAGACGGCCCGACGAAGTTGTCAGTTCTTTGGCTAGCCCTCTACAATCAACTCTACGTGCCTATGGTTACATGACTGTCGTGCCTGGTGGCATTACTTTGTTCGGCACTACGACAACAGTCATGGTGGAATAACTGTAATGGTGTACAACAGGCATAGTATGGTCGGGCCCTTAATTATGAGATTAAATATTGGCAGTCATTGCTTAACCATTTCCTGTACACTTTTTTTGCTAGTACACCTCCTTAAATTCATGTTAAAATAATTCGTTGCTCAGTAGTCAAGAGTTAAACATACAATTAAACAGGTTGGTTATCAGACTTGAATCTAGATGTGGGGGAAATAGAGTGGGATTAGAGTCGACCACCTTTTGAAGAAATTAAACTATTAGTGAGCGGGGCAGTTACATGAGGTCGAAGTGCTCTTCGACTCTGCTGAGGGAGAGGAAGTAGGAGCATATTCTACCTCTGGTTAACACACTCTACTCCAAATTACTACCTCACCTGGTGCGACTTATTCTACACTAACATACCTGTTAATCCACCCTCTGCTACTGACACTGTGTGGCGTATCTCTCTAAAATGAACTGAAGGTGTCAGGTAGTGGTATCTGTAACGTGGTGGAGGTGCTCAACAAACTGATTCTCTCAATAACGTTGTAGTAGCAGTGTTCTTGGGCTCGTTCTGGGAAAATAGAGTGGTCAAAAGATAAGTTATGGTCCTCCGGAACAGCATCTGATAAAGACAGACCACAACAAGGTGACTAATAACAACAAGCATTGGTTTTTAAAAAAGTAAAATATAATTTTAAATTTAACACCTGGCTGGATTCTCTAGTAAGCTGTGAATTACGTGTGTTTTCTGTCTAAATTTTCAAGTTCTGTGATTTAACATTATATAACACATTATTATAGGGATCTGGGAAATAGGTTAGTTAGCACGTTTGTTATTTTTACACTTTAATAGATCGGGTCATAATTTTATCAATTACTGTTTTCAGAATGAGATTAAATCACATTATTTGAACACTGAGGCAGAGTTTATATTCTTATTGGCGATTAGCGTATTTATTGAAAAATTGCTCTAACACAGAATTGAGTAAAAATATTGGCATTGTTTGTAGTAGAACTTCATGGGATCAAGCCTTTTTCAGCGACTATAGTGTTGAATACAATTTTCAATTGAAATACTGATGTCTTATCATAAATTTCTTGTACATCTCCAATAAAGGTTAGACTTTACCAAACAAACTCAAAATGTGTTGGTTTAAGATTATTTTGCTGAGTTCTTTAAAACAGTATGTGCATAGTGGCAATGGGCTTCGATTGTTTGTTGATGAGGCGAATTTTTAGCGTTAACACTAATGATGATATCAATTTTGAATTGGTATATTGGGCGTTAGAATCAGATGGCAAATTTGTGGTACGAATAATTCAAGAACCCATAAGAGTCTGCGAGTGGTAATATTTCTATCAAAAATAACCGTGGAATATATAATTATCTTATAACGATTTTCTTATCTTAACTACAATTTAGCCTGGTATTAACTTATATTCCAGGAAGCGTGTGGAGAATGGTCATATCGGAATGATGATATGTCTAGCTGTAGACAATGTGACGCGGATTGTCTCCCAAACTATGACAAAACAGCCTGTGGTTAAGATAACTTTAAAGCATTGATTTAATTATATTCTTATGTTTTTAAATTTGAATTATCTGTGCTTGATAGAATAAAAATTCTTCCTCACAATAACTCTATAAATTAAGGTAGTTCAAAAATTGTTGCTTAACGATTTCCTAATTCTGCAGAGCCATGTCCAGATGGGAAGATCAAGAACAGCGACCATTAACACCTGTGAAGAATGTCCTGATAACACGATCAGTTCGAAGGAGCAGGTTGTGTTACAACTTGTGACTTGGTCAGGACGAAACTCAGGGGGAGAACTGTGTGTGGTAAGAATTGTTTAAAGTGAACCGTGCGGAGATGATAATTTTTATTATATATAATAGATGGGCAAAGATATGGTAAGGGTTAGTCGGGAGGCAGGTATTAAAGACACTGAAATGCTGGGTTAAGATGTTGGATAAGACGCAGAGCAACAATAGTAAGAACTATATGGAGGAACGCTGCTCCTACTTGTCTAAATTCTGTAGTTCCAGCGCTGGTTAGTTTCACTTTAGTTTCACTTTGGTTTCACTTTAGTTTCACTTTAGTTTCACTTTAGTTTCACTTTAGTTTCACTTTAGTTTCACTTTCGTTTAATTTTAATTAAATTTAATTTCGCCATAGAATATAGATATCTCTAATATAGATATCTCTTCTCACGATAAGGTCTACCTTATCTTAACTATTTTAAACACTCCTCAGAGGTCTACCTTATCTTAACTATGTTAAACACTCCTCAGAGGTCTACCTTATCTTAACCATGTTAAACACTTCTCAGAGGTCTACCTTATCTTAACTATGTTAAACACTCCTCAGAGGGCTACCTTATCTTAACTATGTTAAACACTCCTCAGAGGTCTACCTTATCGGAGAGTTCCTGAACCCAAAAGCTCACTATGTGAAAATAGCTAGATTCCTACCTAAGATTGAGACGATCAGAAAACACAGCCTCACTGCTAGGCGCCTCTTTATTCGGTATATGAATATACATTTTAACTAATGGAATTTTTCTTAAATTGTGTGAACTGATTTAGAAATTTGTTTATTTTTAGTTCGTGTGATATCTTAATTCGCGATCGCCCCACATTAAATAATACCGGTATATATATATATCCGGTCGTTCGAAAAGAGTGCACATTTTGTGGCTTAACGTTAGATGTTGTGTTAAACCATTTCAAACTCTTTATTAACCCATATATTGTGTTAACAGTGGGAGTAACGGTAAAGTATACCCTTATCTGATGGTTAACACCTCATCTCACGTCAAACTGGCCAGATCTGAAGAGAGGTTAGAAATTTGTAAAATTACTTTACTCCTTATCACTTAGAACTTAGACTTAATGGTTGTGCAGCTTTTATATGAATATTGTATTGTCTTGTTACAAGTTTACTTATAAATCTCAGTTCCAAACTGAGTACAACCAATTGATTTATCTTTATATTTCAGGTTCTTACAACTTGTCTTTATATTTCAGGTTCTTACAACTTGTCTTTATATTTCAGTTTCTTACAACTTGTCTTTATATTTCAGGTTCTTACAACTGTTAAGAATGTTCAACAAGTCCCTACTCCAGAGAAAAGAGTCCTGTCGCAGGAATTTACAATGGTGAGTATAAAACTAAGGGTTGATTTCGATCAATTTATACCTCCAGTATAAATTGATCGAAATTCTAAATAATTGATTAATTAATTAATTAACTGATTAATCTCAGGAGTGTGCCTAAAGTAGTAGCTTCAGCGCCCGGGTCCAGGCTTATAGAGGACAACACCAGCAACATATCGGTTCTGGAAATATACAGGTTAATATATATCACTACAAGTAAAGAAGTAATATATGCTCTGAATTATAAATAAAACTTAAAATTTAAATGATCAATCAGTGTATATTTTATGACTGTTTAATGTTTATTATTTATTTAAAACACCAATCATATAATGCAGGTGGTATTGCAAGAACAGGTCCCCAGAAATGGAGGTAGACGCCCCTATTGCTTACTATTACGAACAGCTCGGTAATTTAGGGTCTAATTGGTTAATCGAGAGATAACTGGTTAATTGGAAAGATATTATTGATTGCTCGTATTGTAAACTGTTAGGTAACTTTGCAAATCTGCGTAACGTGCTGTCCTCCGCAAGATTGGATGCAGAACCAACAAACTCATTGTCTAGTAACCCAATTAGCTAATTAACTAGTTGGTTAATTATTTCAGGTCGAATGCAGAACGAGGGATCAGTGCTAAACCGTATTGCTCTGAACAAAATATACCACTTTATACAGACAAACATTCTTCCTCCCACTGTACTCCTAGGTAAGCTAATCTCACGTGACGTCACAAACTCTCACGTGACGTCACACACTCTCACGTGACGTCACACACTCTCACGTGACGTCACACACTCTCACATGATATCATGGCACTTATCCTCTCACCAAATCTTATCCTCTCACTGGAGATTGGACCTAAATAGAATCATCAAACTTATTCGCTCATTACACAATTAACCTATTAATAAATTAACCAATTAGTTGCCCTAATTAACTAATTAGTTGATCTAATTAACTAATAAGTTGATCTAATTTACTAATTAGTATACCTAATTAACCAATTAGTTGACCTAATTAACTAATTAGTTGACATCTCCCAGATTGGGCTAAGAAGACGTACCCAGACCCGGTAATGTTCTGGAGTTTCCGGCACCAGATAACCCGACAAACAGCCCTCGACTGTCTGGTCCAGTTCGCTCTATTCCTCAGCAGTCTCAAACCTGAACACATCTACATAACACAGGAGACTGGCACCTTGTCCACTGTACATTATCATATCCCCATCAGCAAGGAAACCGGTAAGTGAGTGAGACTGGCACCTGGTCCACTGTACATTATCATATCCCTATCAGCAAGGAAACTGGTAAGTGAGTGAGACTGGCACCTTGTCCACTGTACATTATCATATCCCCATCAGCAAGGAAACTGGTAAGTGAGTGAGACTGGCACCTTGTCCACTGTACATTATCATATCCCTATCAGCAAGGAAACCGGTAAGTGAGTGAGACTGGCACCTTGTCCACTGTACATTATCATATCCCCATCAGCAAGGAAACTGGTAAGTGAGTGAGACTGGCACCTTGTCCACTGTACATTATCATATCCCTATCAGCAAGGAAACCGGTAAGTGAGTGAGACTGGCACCTTGTCCACTGTACATTATCATATCCCCATCAGCAAGGAAACTGGTAAGTGAGTGAGACTGGCACCTTGTCCACTGTACATTATCATATCCCTATCAGCAAGGAAACCGGTAAGTGAAGGAGACTGCAACAATAGAAGGGGTATTCTGAACAGATAAAATGTCTTTCAAGTAATGTCGCACTCCCTCAGCTCACGTGACTTCATTACCTCAGGAGAGTTTGTACACGAGCAGCATATTCCGTTCCGTCTGACACCGAACATGATTACACTGATGGGTCCAATATCTCTCTCGGGTCCGATGGTATTCTCCATGATAGCTGCCGCAAGGTGTCTTATCGACCCTAAACTAGGTTAGTAGTCTTGTCTACCAGTTTTCAGAATAATTGTCCTAATCTCCTGATCATAATAATAGTAACGGAGTAATAACGGAATAATAATAATAGTAGTAGTAATAAGTCTTTTTTCTCGTGAAATTGAAATGTTAACCTTTGACTTTTGAGCTATGACAATTTCTTCCTTCAAACATAAGGATTATTTGTGTATTTGAATAGAAATGTTACGTTTTGTAAGTGCTCGTACTTTTCAGGCACGGAGGCGATACTGGCCGCCATATTGAAAGACGAAGTACAAGCTAGTATCAAAGATATGACAGAACCGCGAGTCATCAGTATGATTGAAGATATTCAGGTAAAATTAAACGGATTGGAGTGTAATATCCTTTGAATTCAAAATAAAACTAAATTGTTTAACTGTGATCAGCAAAAATAACTTAAAAATCAAATAAAACTTTCCTTGTGTTTGAGATTGACCCTCTCGTCCCCAGTCGGCAGTAAACCAGATAATGTCACGCCTACAGACGGCAGCGAACTTTGACAAAGCAGAAAGCAAGTTACCCTCCATTATAAGTTTGACAACAACCCCCGAGAATCTGTGCAGACTGGACCCAGCATGGTATCCTTGGTTATAAGAGTTGTGACGTCATCAAAATGTCACGTGACGTCATCATAATAACACCTGATGTCACCAATTCCAGTGTTCATGAACCTTCGACGAAGTTTAACTTTGATTATATATACGGAACACTTCAAACTGAGTTGGGGTAGATAACAAACCTTCCTGGACGATTTATTCTCATACATGAGAGACTTATTTAGTGTTTTCTAAACTTATTTTTAACAGTTTTACGGTGGCATTATATGTTGGCTCTATTTTATAACTGGAGTTACCAATTTAACTCAGTATTTTATCCTGTCTTTATTGACTTTGCCAAAATGATTAACTAGTCGTGCTTAGGCATTTAAGAACATTTTGGAAAGAGAAAGGCCTATATTAATCTTATGGGCCCAGAAATCATTGTTCCATGTTTATGTTGGCCGTAAATAACTGCAAGCTTCTTGAAAAGTAAAATACTGATCCGGCTCTAGGAAATATCATTTTATTATATTACAAAGTATTGATATTTTTAACTCTTAAATTATTATTAATATTGCTTAAATGAACTGTGAGTGTGAACTGTTACTTTGATAATGGCAAATCAGATTTAAGCGGATTTATTTAGATTGTTAGGGATATTAAATGTTTAACTTTTAGTCCTACCGTTTGCTCATATACTTCAGCTATTAAATTACAATACATAAAAAGTACCAATTTATAAAATCTTCTGACGATATATCACGAATTATACCTTCAACCTTGTCATATGATTGGATAGTTGTTTATTCCAGCAGTCGAAGATATTTTAAACTGCTTCTTTGTTCTTTGTTCTTTGTTCTTAATGCTTAGACACTAAATTTCACTACTCATCAAGTATGAGAAGATAACTTATAAAATAGCATGAAGCTAAAACGGGAAAAGTGACTATAGTTTCTGTACACGCTGAGCCGATGTGGGTTTATTTAGCCGATGAGGGTTCATTTATGATTAAACCCCCATGACTTAGTCATCATTTTGTATTATTACAGTTACTTGATTACTTCAGTATGGTGCTGGATGTACAACATCTTTCTTTGATATTGTCAATTGTAGTTAAAATAATTCGTTTCTTTTTGTTCGTGTTATGGCGCTTGTTGCCCCAAAACCCACGCTGTGGGTCTCAACGCTGCCTGCCGCGCACAGGTTGCAAATGCAGGTGCGCGAATAGGTAAGTCGACTAGTTATCTTACTGCTAGCTTACCAGGCACAGGCGTGCCCTCCCTATGCACCGCGGTCTTTTTATTTCGGGATCATGCATACGTGAAAGAAGCGAACCATAGGCCCAGTGGTCTAGTACGTGCACATGTTGCAGGTTGCTTGTTTATCTAAATATGAGTCGCCTTCGTGCGAAAAGTGTTATGGCTATGCAACGTATGTCAACGCACAACGAGTGATACTCTTAAAATATTTGCTCGAAAATATATAAAATATTAATCAATATATAGTATGTTGTATCACATCGTGACCCCCACGGTCGTTTCACTATATAGCTATAGTAGAGTTTCAACGATAAAGGGGGAGCCGCGCACTCGTGCGCGGCGGGTCATACAACGTATGACAAATAATATGTTCCAAGACCGTCGACAAGTCCAACTTAGCGCGCCTCTTGGCATGGTATGTTATAAACCTAAAACATACAAGAAGTGACAATATTCAAAATTCGATAAAGAATACAAATATAATATCAAATGGGTACTTCTCGCCGCGCCCTCGGAAATTAGGAAACATTTTTTATTTAGGCAAACGCGATCTTGTAGGTTTATATATATAGTTATAACCTACCAAGACGCGGGCCGAGTTGGACTCGTTGAATTTGAAACAAATATCTTACGAGTATTATATCACCTGTTTAGTTAAACGCGATACGATTATTTTTGAGTTGATTTAATGCAACTGCAGAAAATTATTCCAAGAAAGGACACATTTGACTAATTTTTTAGATTTTTACCCGAGGAAATCCTGAAATAATGGCTAGTATGGCTTAATTTTAATAAACCATCATGTGCGGCTGTGTTTTTTCAAATAATTTACACACAATATCACAATGACCCTATATAAAATAACATAAAAGAAAATCACATCATTATAAAATGAAAATCACCCTTGGCCTTGTGGCTCCAAGTTCAAATCTAGACTATCTATAATATTGAAAAAGTTCTTTCTCGCACCTCTGTCTCCCCTGAAAGAAATCTACTATAGCTACTATAAAATCTACTATATATAATATAGAATACTACTAATACCTACTTATATAAACCTATAATATGGTTAGGTGAACCAAAATACTTGACCATTGTCGATGATCTGGCCCGGCGCGCGCTACTTCGAAGAAATTTAGACGAGTAACATCCGTCAACCAAAATACCCAACTTTGAACGTGTCAATTCTGCCGTTTTCTCAGAAAAGGCAGTAAGTCCAAATTTTCGAAATATGACAATATTGGTATCAAAATTTTCAGTAGAAAATTCTCTACAACATGAGCTACATATTAATGTATAGAAACATTGTTGCATGCAATTCCTAAGGAAGTAAGTCCCTGTTGAGAAACATTATGTTCGGTTTTGGCCAATTATTTTCTGAGAGAAGGACGTAAGTCCGGACTTACTGCCTTTTCTGAGAAAATCTTGAAAATTTTCTGAGATAAGGAAGTTATTCCGTGGACTTACTGCCTTTTCTGAGATAAATTATTTGTGATAGGAAGAAGTAGCTGGACTTACTTCCTATAAAAGCATGCTAAAAACGGAATTTTAGAAAGCGATTTCCCAAAAAGAACATAACTTTACTGCCGATTGATATTTTCGCTTGAAATTTTCAGAATCGATGTATGATTACATTTCAACCTTACGTAAGTGATCAAAATTTTCATTTAGGCCTCAAAAAAAATTTGGTGGCCGATTTTCAAAAACGTCGGATGTATTTTAGTCGCAAAACATAAACATTGGAGCAGTTATTGAGCTGTTATAATCGCAGAGAATGTTTAGTTTAGGTATATCTTTTAGATCAAGTTCATTTTCATCAAAATATCGATAAGATATCATTTAATGCACTGAAATCGTTCAAAATTGGCGAGTTTGCCTAAATAAGGGCATACTATTATTCAAAAACATTTATTATATGATATGGAGCAATTTAGATTTACCTAATTGTTTATATTTTACAATATAATCCAAAATACATAGATCCCAACCTCAAAAATTTAGTAAAAAGCTTGGACTTACTTCCTTCTCAGAAAAATATTGAACAGAGATTTTTCTCAGAAAAGGAAGTAAGTCCACGTTTTCTCAGAAAAGGCAGTAAGTCCATCCAGTATGAAAAATAGGTTCGATTATTTGGCATAAAAATGGTTATATCTAAGCTTATGGACGGCTCAAAGCTTTAATTTTTTTGACAAATTAAAATTTAACTAATTATTGATAACTCAACGTGTTTACTTTCGATCTTACGCAAAAAGTAAGCGGAGAAAAAACCATAAACGAAAAAGTCGCAATATCTCGAGATGGCAAATATGGACTTACTGCCTTTTCTGAGAAAACGGCAGAATTGACGGATGTTACTCGTCTAAATTTCTTCGAAGTAGCGCGCGCCGCTTTCTTCTCGAAATGTTGGCCCGACGGCAAGTGCTACGAAGTAGCGCGCGCCGGGCCAGATCATTAACAATGGTCAAACGTGTCAATAAATACAAATTCTCAGCCCAAAGACAAAAGAACCAGATATAAATATATAATAAATTATATAATAAAACAGCTATACCAAAAGTATAAAAACTTTGACTTTCATAGCATGTAGCAACAAATTTGAAAATGAGGGAAACATTATATGAGCAAGAATCTGAAAGTAAAGTGATGATGATCCAGATATTGACCATAATTATAAATTGCAAATTAGTCACACATGAAACAGTGATCAGTTTACATATCAAATACTAAACATTAAGTTAGAATAGCATTTCATGGATCTAAATTTTTATTTATTTTATGACTAATCCTTATTGTATCACCGAATATTTATATATTATTAGTTTTATTGTTGATTAAGGATAAATTGTTATTAACTGCTTACTTTGAATAAAATCTGGTTGTTTTGTGTTTAGAATTTGTATTTTGGTTGCAAGAAACATTGTAGGTTTATTATGATATAACACGTGCCCAGTTGGAATCATGGACAGTCTTGGGATAAATACAAAATATTTTACGAGTATCCCCTGTTATTTGATGTGCGACGCCCAGTTACTGGGCCGCGCTCAGCCTGTCATTCCGCCAAATCTTTATTATTTATGTTAATGAACATAATAGCCTGGGGTCCTCAGGTAAGACGCCCAGTAGTGCATCACCAATCGCGTTGCGCTACAAATGTTATATAATATAAAGATCAATTTATTTAACTTTTGGAGGCATGCCCAAAGAATGTAAGCGATTTGTAAATAGAGTAGCAGACCTCATCGCCAGGAAAAGGAAAGAGAGGTATTGCGATGTGGTAAGACATGTGAGGACAAGAATAAGATTTGCAATGTTAAGAACCACACTCATTGCTCTACGTAACGAGGGTACAGAGGGAAAAATCAAAAAATGGACAGCAAATACGAGAAACCACTTTCAGAAGTTTCTTATAACCTCATCCCTGCCCCTATGATTAGATGGAGTAGATGTGTATATATTTGATTTTTGATATTTCATATTATATAATATTGGTAGCAGTGGAAAATTTCCGTTACCTCTGTATTCTTCCGTTCCCTGAGAAAAGGCAGTAAGTCACATCGATGTCATTTTGAGAAAATGGGACAAACTTACTGGGCCGCGCTCAGCCTGTCATTCCGCCAAATCTTTATTCGGAATTATTATGTTAATGAACATAAGAAAACAACAATTTCAAGAAAACAACAATTTTATTTAGTATCAATTAAAGCAGACAAAAATATATTTCATATATATATAACTAGCACGAACTTTAGATCAGATATCTTAGGGGACTTGGAGTAGCAAGAGATTGACTAGAAGGTATATAACTTTTACAAAGATACGTCGAGAAGAATCCAGGGTGATACAGGATCGGAGAGTGCAGACCAAAAGTTTACGCACCCACCTTTGCCTCCTGAGTTCTTGGTTGGATGGAAATTTATGCAAACTTGGTCGTTTATACTCCAAGTCCCTTTCTTAAAAGAAGTAGTATTAACTATGTCTAGAGTTAGCTTCGTTCAATAATAACAATATCAATATAATCAATATCAATACCAGATAAACCTACCGAATAAATTATTAAATATCAATTAATTCATTCCGATAAAAATTTTTATAAATTTAGATATTTAACTTATCTAAAAACATTACAACAAATGGTTAAAAAGCGCCCAAAATCGATTTGAAAGATTTTCTGTCTATAGTACAATCATGATAGTAATAGTAAGTGTGCGCCGCTGCAATTAGATTTGATTACTGCAATTTAAAATTGTTTGGAGTCCAAGTATCTTTTAAGTCAGCTGCCTGTGCTTGTATTAATAGTGCTTTGGTTCTCAGTTTTATCAAGCTAATGGACGTTTCTAAGCAATTGCTTGAAGTTAAAATTTTTTTATGAACAGCGTTCCAAAGCTTGGCTGCATTAAACAAAAAGGTATTTGATTTATTTAGGAGAATAACCATTAGACTCGTTGCACGGTTTGAAATGTTGATAGCCTCATAAAGGGAGTATGGGCAGTGGTACTTGATAATCTTAGAGAATTCTAAAATACAGTGATATTTGTCCAAGTTTTGAGCCGTAAGAATTTTTAATCTATTAAAAATGGGTTTTGTATGCTCCTTTTCAAAGTGTTTACGGTCTAGTTTTTGCATACCGTATGGTCTAGTACGTGCACATGTTGATTGTTTATCTAAATATGAGTCAAGGTCGCCAAAAAGGATCCTTATACAGTGCTTCTGTGTGATGAAAAGACTATCATTGGACCGTTCTTTGAGGACAACACCCCAAACACTTATACCATAACTGAGATGTGATTCAAAAAGAGCATTATATATTTTCAAATATAGTTCAGAAGGTATCGAGTG